GGGGGGGGCTATAGCCCCCTTAGCCCCCCCCCCCTTGGATACGCCACTGTATATATATTTTCCTATTTAGAAATTCGATTGTGTAGTATATTAATCGATTAATTGAATTTATTTTTTAATATTATGCAAATTCCTCAAATATTTCAAATAAATAGTACCTAGTACATTTGCAAAGATGCAATATTTTTAATTTGGATCTTCAGATCCAGTACTCAATAGAAATCCCACTTATTGATAATTTTAAATTTTCATTAATATAAATCAATAGGTTAGAAATACTGTAGAGTTAGAAAAAAATATATAATTTCGGACTTTTACAAACATTGATTGTTAGTCCTAAGATTTACCACAACTCACCTGTAAAAGTCCGAACTGCTAAAATCATTCGGGGTTTGGCCAAACAATAATGTATATACTAGATTTTATCGGTAAATCCTAGATTTCAACTATATTCCTACTGTTACCGTAACATATATATATTTATCATCATATTGCGATCGGTAAAACCTAATATTTACCGGTAAATCCTAGGTTTCTTCAGTATTGGTACAATTACTTTAACATATATTTATATTAAAACTTTAAAATTATACTACATAATAATATTATGATGTAAAATGTATTCAAAACAATCGTTACTTTAATATAAGGTCTATAGGATTGTAATTTATAAAGGTAATTTTTAAAATCCTTCTCTCTCATTTCTTATCTCTTCGTTTCTTCAATAGTTATTTTTTTTGTAATGTTAACATGTTTTTAAACGTAATATTATTTTTTTTCTGTAGGTTTTTTAAATATTTTCTAGAGAAAAATAAATGATAATTATTATTATATACTTGAAATTATTGTAATATATTTACGTAACTAACTAATTATCTATGTACATTTCATATCTATGGATTAAGTTTTCATCGTAATAATATTTATTTATATTTTACAGAAATTAAGATGTTAATCTAACTCGAAATATTATGGCCAATGTAGTAGGAAATGTTAGTAATTGAGTATGAGAAGATTGTAAAATTTTTCACATTTATAATTAACTTAAGATATTATTAATACAGGTAATTTATAGAATAATACCAAAAAATAAATATTTTGGTGTACATTTATTAATTTTACTTAAATTGTAGAATGTCTGAAAGCGAAAGAAAAAAAAGATCACAATGTATAGACGTTTGGGAAGAAGCCGGTTCGGAATTCTACCAAGAAAGCTATCCAGGAATGGAGGCAGATTTAGAAGCATTTCAAAAAAATCCAAATAAGCTTTCAACTTTGTTACCTAGTAATAAAACAAGAACCGGTAAGGAATATTTTATATATATTATATATCATATTTTATATATGTTAATATTGTCCTGTATAAATAAGCTATAATATAATATTAAAACCATTAACTTAATTAAACATTTTTGTAACGTTGAAATTTAAAAAAAATTTTTTATTTATTACATTCTAACATTTTTCACTAAAATACAAACATCATTATTTGTTTTGTAAAGCACGGAAGAAAATCAATAATGGGACTATGTGCTATCAAGCAACAGCTACCCTAAAACCAGCGGAATACGGAACATTATGTCAAAACACTATGGGTTGTAATAATGAAATTCAAATATCTCTTATGCCTGATTTGTCTGGTAATATAATTGTACAGTAATTTTAAAAAAAGTAGATGTCAATTAATTCATTATTGTTAAAATTTCTAGAAAATTTATCGAACGAAGAACTAATATGGGAAGAGATTATGAAAATTAAAACAATGCCGATTAGTATGGCCCACAAGAAAGAATTAAAAGCAAAGCTAAAAGTAAGTTAGGATTATGGGTTAAAATTAGTTGAAAATTATAGTTATTAAAAATAAATAACATCTATACAATAACCAGTTGAGGGTAAATTATATGTATTATTATATATTATATATATATAAGTAGAATTCATAATTATTGATCATCTTGAAACCAGAATAAATTTTATTTTTATCATTATAGGAGATTTAAATTGTTTTGAATTTTGTAACGATCATTCATTACAAATATTGATAACAATTTAATTACAAAAATGTTTAAATGGCTTTTAAATTATTTTAAAAAAAAACTTGTGGAATTCATATTCACGCAATAAAAAATTATCCAAATAAAAATTTTAAATTTTATATAAATGATAAATCGTTAGTTAATTTAAACAAAATAGATTTAGTTTATTAATTCCATAGATTGTTAATTTTTTTTATATGCTTAAAGTTATTATTTTTATATTAATTATCAATTTTAAATAAACATTTAAATTTTAGTTTGAATTAGCAATTTTTTTTTATTTTCTTATAGAATTAAAATATTTGTTTTCAGAAATTATGATTTATACTTTGTAATTGATGTAATTGATTTTAACGGTTCGCGATTTGAAGTTAAACTTTGGTTATGTTTTATTGACATTTAAACATGGTTCTAAGCTTAGAAAAAATAGTTAGTAAATACCCAGAGTTAATATTTTTGTAAATACTCATTTAATAATAATATTGTATGACAATAACATTTTGATATTTTTATGGACACTTAGACCACCTTCCATTGGGATTACGCGACGTTATTTTAATTATATATCGCGTGATAATCGTTCGTTCTATGAAACATAAATTAATATATTGTGAACTTCCACTAACGCAATCGTGACTGCATCTTGACGTTACTACAACGTGACACGAAAGTTACTAATCGTTAGTGACTGCTGCTGTCCATTGCTTGGTAAATAGTTACCATTATTCTCGTCTAAGCTTTTTCATTGACTTCATATATTTGATTTTATACATTATTTTTATGTATAAATAATTATAACTGTGTCAAAAACCAATTAAGAGATATACCTAGTTAACTTTTGTAACTTGTTTTCATTAACAGGTCCCACTTTTCTAAAAATATGTTTAAATTTTCTTTCGATGTACAAAATAGAAACTGAGCTGTTTTAGTTTTCAAAACGTTGCCTACAATGTGCACAATTTAAACTGTTATATCGTACAATTTTTTATTAAGCAATTATTTTTTTAACAATATTAACATCATGCTGCGTCACGTTGCCCCAAAAGGAAGATGATGTCCTCAGTAGCATATTCAGGGGGTTTAGGGGGTTATAACCCCCCCTCCAAATATTTAATGTATGTATATTGTCTATTGATTATAATAAAAACACATAAAATTAAAAAAAAATTTAATTTTACTTTTTTTATTACCTCCCCAAAAAAAAATTCTGGATACGCCACTGGATTTCTTTATAGTTTTCATTTTGTTAGTAATTATAATCAATAACAATTTGCTGTAGAATTTTTACCCAACTAAAATTTATTAATATTTTTAGGAATATTTTATATTATAATTATTTTGTGACATCATATTCTCGAATTGTATTTTATTGTAATTACTCATATTATAGTATTATTTTCGGTACTTTTTTAACGTACATATTTTGTTTGTTTTTAGAGCGCAGATGCTTTCAGACTACAAGGTTTCCAGCAACTCAGATGGCAAAAGCGGAAGATATGTATTTATTTAAAAACGAAATGGTTAGAATTTTATAATAAATTCCACTTGTGGAATTCGAGTATGAGAAAAATCGAAGGCCATTGTGGCGCTGGTGTAGTGGAATTCTTTCGTTTTATAAAATTGTTAATTTTTTTAAACGCTTTCACCTTGGTTGTGGTTTTTATTTTGTTGATATTTCCTTCGGTTTATTGGGTAGAGTTCAAAGAAAACAACACGTCTGATCTGTGGAACGAATGTGGCTCGAGCAACGAGAGCGCGTCGATCGAATGCTGCAGTGCCATTTACGAGAACGTGACCAGGATAGCCAGGCCCCGGGTGACCATTCATTACGTCATGGATATAATTCAAGGGACGGGTTGGGTGGAGACCACGCCAATGTATTACAGTTACTATCCAAACCAGCATTTCAGCGTTGGTCAACTGTTCACGTATCACATACCGGTGGCGTACGTGGTGTCCACCATTTGTTATTTCGTGTTGTATTTCTTGATCATTGTGAGGAAGTCGATCAAAGGATTCAAACAGAGAATGGTGGAAACCCAGGTGCAGTACTATTTGTACTCGAACAGCATATTCATCGGATGGGACTACTGCATCAACAATAAAATATCGGCGATGCTGAAGCAGAAGGCCGTGTACAACGAGCTGCGGTCGTTCCTGGCGGCGGACCGGCCAAAAGCGGAAAACAGGAACCGCGGAAAGCACACACACGTGGCGGTCGCCCGGCTGCTGATCTCGACGCTCGTGACCGCGCTCATCGGGTCTGCATGCTTCTCCGTCTACCTGACGTTCTACTACTCGATCAAGCTGCTGCAGGGCGAGCAGACGTTCATGTGGGCGTTCCTCTTGGAGTTCGCCACGCCCGTGGCCATCACGTTTTATAACGTGGTGTTGCCAATCGTGTTCGACGTGCTGCTGAAGCTCGAGCACCGGTCCATGTACCAAGAGACGCGGCTGTGCATATCGCGGATAATCTGCGTGCGCGTGTCGCTGCTGATCGTGCTGCTGGGCTCGGCGTACCGGCTGATCAACTGCGTGCGTGAGCAGTCGCAGTGCGCCAGTGCGCTGTGCAGCTCGCCGCTGTGCTGGGAGACGTACGTGGGCAAGATCATGTACAAGCTGCTGATCGTTGACGTGGCGTGCAAGATCGTCATCACCGTGCTGATCAGCTGCCCACGCAGCATACTGATCCGGCACTTCAAAAGCAACCTGTTCCAGGTGATGTGCAAGCAGGAGCTGAACCTGGCCAAGCACGTGCTGGACGTCATCTACGTGCAGATAATTGTGTGGCTGGGCAGCTTCTACGCGACGCTGCTGCCCGCCCTGGGCCTGGTGTCGCTAGTCATCATGTTCTACATTAAGCGATTCTCGTGCATCGTCAACTACAGCCTCGCGCAAAAGGTGTACAGCCCGTCCCGCACGCACACCATGATCATGTCCATGCTGCTGGTGGCCTACGCGCTCTGCTCCGCCGCGTGGCTCGCCGCCATGTCCAGGATCACACCGTCCCGGTCCTGTGGCCCATTCAAGGGGCTGTCGTCCGTCTGGATGGTTCTGGCCGACACGGTGCGGGCCACACCCCTGTGGGCGGTTGCCGGCTACGAGATACTGACCAGCGTCAACTTCACGGCACCGCTGGTCGTCACGCTGCTGTGCGTAATCTACTACTACCATACCGTGACGGGATCCAACAAGAAGATGATCGCGGTGTTGCGCAAGCAACTCGTGCTCGAAGGCCACGACAAGCAGTTCCTGTTGAACCGCCTGAGCGCGTTCATCAAGCAGCAAGATAGAGGCCGCAAAGCGGCGGAGAACAGCGACGATATCAACGTGTTGATCTCTTGATTCGTCTGTTGAGCTGCTGACGGTGAAATGAACCGCATTCGTTGCAGTGCCGACGCAGCGTCGGAGCGACAGCTGTTTCTGAACAGCTCTTTCGACCGGGTTTTTTCCCGTAATTTTTCTTTTCAGGGTGCTCAATGTTGTTGTATCAAGGTTGTGATTGATTGTTGCACGGCCGTATTGCCTACACGCGTTCGGATTACTCCTTCAAGTCAATGGATTCGAAGTCGTTTTTTATTAGGAATAGGAACTAAAATACTAATCTAATTTTTACATTACAATAATAATAATAATAATAATATTACTCTCGCCAAATAATTGTGTTACTGGACTCGGTACGTGGAGTCACGGCTATTAGGTTTCACGATCTTATTTGTATATTATTTTTCGATTCCGTGTGAAAAAATTTAATTTTTTCGATTTACAAATAATTGATATTTTTAACGGCTCTTCATCATCATAGACATCTATTTTGTTGATATATTTCTATTGGCAATCGCTCTATTATAATTAATACCCTTAGAAGTATAGGGTGAAATTGAATATGCTAAAAAATATTACTTACATTTATCTAAAACAAATATTTTCAAAACTGTAACGTCATTAATATAATGAATGCGAAACTGTGTAATATGTTTTATTATAAGTATAACATTGTATAAAGTTACAACGGAATATTTAATACATTTTTGTGACGGATACTAATATTATATTAAACCAAAAATTATATATTATAAATTGTATTTTTAATAACATTGATGTTGAGGCATTTAATATGATGTGTATTTTAAAGTTTTATTTTATACAATTTTGAGTGATATTTTTTGGATTGTCTTCCTTGAAATTTTGGTTTTGTTTTAATATTTTTGTCATGTTTTTTTTTTACTATGATTTTTATAAATAATAATTCAAAAATATGTAATAAAATGTAAGCAAATTACACCTATACATATAGTATCACATACCTAACTTATATATACATGACTAATAATGGTTAGATTTCTATGTGACAAAATGAAAAAATTAGCCTCAGATTTAATTCAATTTTCTTGGTCTCATATAATATACGAAACAGCATGTACGATTTATGAATATTAAACAATAAATAAAGCTCTTTAGCTAAATTACTAAAACATTTTATTTTTATTTTTAGTTTTTAAATTATTCCGTTTCATTTTCTAATAAAACCTTTGGCATTTTATAATGTAATTAATATTTTTATACGACAGGAATCTATTGATTGCAATGTTTAAAATATTAAAATGTGCCTTCTTAAATCAAATGTAAGCATATTATTTGTATTTGAAAATCATATTATGTATATAAGTCAGAAATTGTGGGTTTAGGATTTTTTTTTATATGAATATTGGACATGTAATTTCTTATTAATCAAATAAAATAATTTACAACATTTTAGTTTCCTACAATATAGTTCAATCAAGAATAAAGATTAATAGAATATTTACTTCTGTTCTATCATACTTTTAAGAATTTTAATCATTCATAAATGACAAAAGAAATATTTATAATTGAAAAATGTTCGAAGAAATAGAAGCTCAGGCGTATCTATTCCCAATAGTGTACCCATTAATGTGTATGTATTTTTTTGAGCTCACGCGTGCGCGCATAACGTTCCCAACCAAAAGTCACTATAGATTTCCTCGACTTTAGCGTGTAGGTTAACTTAGGTTGAGTAAACTTCAAAGGCATTCAGTGAAAATAAACAGTTCGAAATTCCTCGGTTTGGTACATAAACAATTTTTTTATATCTACTATTTCTACGCCCGGTGATTGATCATTAATTAGGGAACGGATTTTAATTTAAATAAATATTTTTATGTAGTTTTAATATCGGAGAGTTATTGACATATATATACGTTTCATTTCATTTTGAATGAACTAATGCTAATTTTATTTTAAATATTTTCAAATATTTTAGTATAATTAAATATTTTTAAATATTTTACTAATAAATATACGTAATCTATATTATTGTAAAATTTCCGTTTTTATTTTAATATTTTGCGATGGACGAAAATATATGATTAAGTCTGTACAATATCTTATCTAGAAAGCAGGTAAAAATTTGAAAAAACTTGCAAAACAATTTAACACTTATTTCCGCCAATTTTGGATTTTTAGTTGATACTATTCAAAATTAGAAACTTCTAAAATGGCATTAACCGAGAGCCTAGAAATAGTAAATAATGCCATTAAGCAATTAGAACGCGTTCCTGGAGAAATTAGAATCTTAACAAACTCTAAATTACAAAACATATTGGGAAAACTTTAGAATTTAAGGCTGTAAAGTCGATAGAGAAATTTTATTAAACAAAACTCCAAAAAACAATTTATAAATAGAATACAGTCCAAAAGAGTTAACATGTATGAAATATGTACCTGTCACTTTCGTTGATGTGGAGAAGTCATTTAACCGTCATAAAATAATACTAAGATAGAATCGCCGTAATTTAAAATTTGAAAATCTCAAATTATATGCCATTTCTAATTGTTTCTCCCATGAAAAATATTCGGATGATTCAGAATAAACATTTTTATTTTTGTATTATATATTGTTTATAAATTATAGTTAATTATATCTTATTTCCAATTTCAATATTTCAATATTATAAATAAATATATATGAAGTAATAAACAAATATATATTTAAATATTTTTAATTTTTACTAAATTTAAATCCATTCCCTAATCATCACATTTGTATCTGGAGACCGCGTACACCCATTTGGACATGTGTCCATCGAAAGAGTCAAGCTGGTACGGGTTTTCCTGAGATGTCAGTCATTTGTATATACCTGATCTTTCAGTTCGGCCAAGGTGGAGCTCCCAGTAACTCTTTTTGATTCATGTTTGTTTAGCGAGAGAGTTATTCTTACTCTATATTATTATAAATTTAATATAATATCCAAATTGTTTTTAGAGAAGGGATACATCTCACTCGTATGTGTCGCGTGCAAAACATATCCATATGCTTTAGTATATTTAATCCGCAGCAAACTTTATTTTATAAAGAGAGATTTATTATACAGTGAGCTTTATCGATATATAAGTATTAATAATTAGTTAAAAGAAACATAGTTTTAGTTTTTATTCAACTTAATTCAATAATAATAATGATTTGTATTTATAAAATAAGATGCGCGGTTTCTTATCTTAACCATCGGTGTTCCGTTTAACGTTCATTCTTTAATACCTGTATTGGTTTCTTAGCATTATTTAATAATAATTTATCACAAATAAACTGTTATAATACTAATAAAATGACAACATTTATATATTTAATATCATCAGATGAAAATCAATTTTGCATCAGTTGAAGACGTCCTATAATGTTCTAATATTTTCTAATGTTTCATTTGATTTAATGTTCAATGTGTGCAAAACCAAATCGATATAATGTCTTACATAGAACAAAATGATATGGATTACAACGATGTTTCTTTGGAGCATAAAGTTTGTAATTTTTTTTCTTATGTATATAAAGAATGTCTTCATAATAAAAAATTGTAAATATATTTTATCATGGCACCTATGTGATTTTAAATCTCCCATGGATTCCCTGTTCGAACATTTCATTTAGTCTGGATGAATCAATCAAAAATGGCAAGCTAAATATTATAAATATAGCCATTTAATATGACTAGTTTGAGTATGAGTTAATCAAATACTGTTTAAAATAAACGACCCCGACGGCTGACCATAAATGGAAATATGTTTTAATTAATTCATACCAGTTGCAGCGTTTTGGTGGGCACAGAACGTCTGCAGTTCTTCGTCGTTTGCTTCCTGGAGTGTGTACGATAGGTAACCAACGAATCGGGAGTAAGAGACAATTCGAGTTATAGGTGGGTGCCAGGAAGTGTTGTACGATTAGATAACATACATTTGAAAGCTTCAGCGACGGATATTGGTCCAGTTGGTAAACCGATATTGGGAACGTAGGTTTTGAGTGTTTTAGAAATAAACTGTTGTTAGTCATACGAAACGCATGATGGACCGTTTCGTGTTTTTATTGAAACCACGAAACAGGATATTGTTAAATAGAATACTGAATTTCCTATATGACCGTTGTGAAAACGAACAGCCAAAACGCAGGGTGTATCCTCAATACATTTGAATAGGATAGTCGACCTCTCCCTTCCCCCCCCCCCCGTAGCTTTTTTTTCAAATATTTGTTATTGATTATTTATCGTACTAAGAAGATACATAAATGAGAATACGCGTTTGAAGTTTCCCCTTCTATAGAAGGGTCCAAGGGTGCCGCTGGGTTGTACGTTGGCGAACGAGGTGCGTTATCAAGACAGGCAATAATGGAAAACCGTGAACGCGGGTCAATACGGTTAGGCACGGCGTGTTTCCAGACTCCCCACTCGTTATGATCGATATGATGCACAACAATATTTATTGTTTTTCTCTCGCGTTACATTATAACCAAAGACGAAACTAGACACTTTTATTAGGTTAGGCCAAATTAAAAATATAAAAAGTATGATTAAAAAATAAAATTAACGTAAAATTAACTATTATTTCCTATAGTATAATTATAAAAATAAACATCAAATGTGTAAATTAAACAATAAATAATAAAACGACATACGATTACATAGAATAGACTTATTATGTTCTATTATAATCCTTATTTGTACCAATTGTACCTATATACTATACTATATTATAGTGTTATGTGAAACGTACAAATTTATACGTTTACATGTATAAATATATTATTTATAATGCTTAAATAATTGTTAAAATATATAATATATACATATTTTTCGTTAGTATTATGTCAGACCATAGCCTGACTGGCCTGACCCGTAGTTTCGCCTATGATTATAGCCGTGTCCGTTCGATTTATCATTATCGATCATCGTTGATTCGCACGGTCCACCGCAATGTCACGATGACGCACCGCCGTAGTATTCGGTAACTCGCGCATTGGGCCGGTTTCCTTTTGACGGGGTCGGTGTACCGCGTCCCGCTTAACCAATAGGTGCGCTATCGTTGCAGACGACCCCGGAGGACATTGCAGCGGAGACGGACGACGAGTGCACGTCGTCCAGCTTCGACGGCGGCGACGTTCAGGACCACTTGTTCCGGCATCACGTGGACGACGACGACGAGCTCAGACTCGACCGGTTGAGGACGACGCTGATCGACTTCACGGTGAACTGTTTGCTCGAACAGCCGTGCGACCTGATCGACTACGGGATCGAGTTCTTCGACGAACTGAAGAGCGCTCAATGTACGGTCGGCCTTATGGACTACGGTACGTGTGACGCGGACGACAAAGTAGCGGACGACGGCGAAGCGGACCACGGCGTGTCGGAGCACGGCGCGTCGGACGACGACGACGACGACGACGACGGAGATCCGATGTCGGTTTGCAGGCGCCCGGCCGTGTTGGGGGAACTGCTCGACCCGGACGTGCCGGGATGCTACGACCGGGCGGCCGGACTCGCGGTCAAGTCGGACTCGCAGCGGCGGATGCTGTTGGCCAACGTATCGGAGGTGTTCGTGTTCGGCGCGCTGGACGTGGACGTGATGAACTTGGTGATCGACGCCATGCAAGAGCGGTGCGTGCGCAACGGCGACGTGATCATCAGGCAGGGCAACGGCTGCAACCGGTTCTACGTGGTGGAAGCGGGCGTGTTCGGAGAGAGCGCGGCGGACGCGGACAGCAGCGGCGGTCAACGTCGGTCGCGCACGTACAGCCCCGGCGACAGCTTCGGCGAGCTGGCGCTGCTGTACGACGAGCCGTGCGACGCGACCGTCGTGGCCCTGTCGAACGGCCTGCTATGGACCCTGGACCGGAACTCGTTCAGGCTAGTCTCGTCGCTCGTGTCCTCCGAATATCGTTGTGCTCTCGGCGCTCGGAACCGTTTGAATTTATCGTTACCGGTTCTCAGAGCAATAAATTAACTGCTCCGGTCCGGTTCCTCGTTAAAAATAACTATGGATACCGATTCCAGATAATTCTGGTACCGGTTCCTGTTATCAGTATACACCTGATTTTAATATACCTAGCTCCTTTTATTATCGTCCACCCGTTTTACAAAGACAAAGCGTATAATAATTATTTAAGTATTACAGTCATAAACATGCGCAGGCATTACCGGCAGGGTGATCGTATGTAACGCGTTAAAATTTAATATTAACATCAAATTTGGATGGGATGATTCGATTCAACTTGACAATTACATTTTTTCGGTAGTCTTATATTTACCGTTTACGGACGTGTCGAAGTGATCGAACATAATATGGTTATTTATCATCGTGATAATATTGAATATTTTGGTGGTAGGGGAAAAGTTCGCAGAGTTGTCAAAACCTGACGACTCCGTGCGTACGCTTATGATTACAGAATAAACGAAAGATAATTATTAACCCCCTATGAAATATACAAAACAGAGTAGTACTATTGTAACACTAGTATAAAATCGAAAATTACAGTCACCAAAATATTATTTACGATTTACGGTACCTACTTACGTCTCGCTTATGCATCGTTTGCCATAATAATACACTAGCGGACAGTGTATCTATTTTATAATCATCACCGCTTTATTTCGTAAATAATTTAATATTGATTCCAGTTATGGTGAATACAGATTAAAGACATGACTAAATAATACTATTTTGTTATAAATACTTTTACACATAACAAACACTTCAAAGTTATCATTTTCAATGGTTGTCCATCCAAAACGTGAAATTTGTATAGTTCTAGGTATAAATATAATGTTTATGCATCCCTGATTGTTTATAAACAAAGTAGTAATAACTAATAACTTGTACTAAATAAAACTATTTTATTTTGGGACTTAAAAGAACCTTTATAATTTAAAAATTTCGGTTCGGTTCAGTTACTTAATTTATCAATATAATGGTTTCGGTTTCGGTTCCTACCATTCAAAAATTTCCGGTTTTTTTCGATTCCGTATCCATCCCTGTTTGGAATACAAACAGTGCAACATCCGCCTGTCACCACCCACGAACACGGATTTTGGGAAAAACATAGAGGCGTAGAAAACACGAATACGCATATGTGCCCACTAGTGCTCTGCATGGTCCGGTTTTAATCAGTCCGGTCTAGTACGTTCCTAACGTACAAAAATTATTGAATCGTCGGTTTGATCCCATTTAATAATTTTTAGGAGTAGTTCGGTCCAGTCCTCAGATCAAATATATTATGTTCAGTCCGGTCCGGTCTCGGTCCGGTCTCAGTCCGGTCCCAATCATGATACTTAAAATTTAAATAGGTACAGATATCTATTGTTATATAAACAAACAAGACGAAAAAAAACCTACAAATTTAGGTATATATTTATTTATAAAGTTAAAGTCGGGTAGTCCGGTCCAGTGTATTACTAAAAGCATCATATGGTACGGTCTGGGCTAATACAGACTGAACCTTACGGACTGGTCCATAAAGGGTCCAAAATGTTTTAAGATCGAAACGACAGTTCGTTCCACGGTTTATTTTATTAAATGTTATTTAATTACTGGTCCGGTCCGGTCTAAAAATAATATGAAGCCGTCGGCTCGGTCCAATTTTGGTCTTTGATTAACGTTTAAGTATGGTCCGGTCCGACTTCTGTAAACCGACCCCTGGTAAAATTTGAAGTCCGATCTGGTCCGTAATAGTGCAGAGCACTAGCGCCCACTGTTGCGATAAACGTTCTCGAGTTTCTTCTTCTCTTTAATTGTTTTTATTTTTGTTATTTCATACGAAAGCCCACTACGGATCGCCGGAACGTTAATTGTGTTCCTGTCGTGCGTATAAGATATTGTGACAACCGATTGTTGAGAAATAGTAACCGAGATTTTAATGTGTAAACGGATAATTGTTGTTGCCTCGGTATTTTTTCTTTCTTGTTTGCCATGGTTCATTATCGATTCTGCTACAACGTCCGTCGTTTCCTCTGGATCTGCTTCTGATGAGAGTGAAAGGGAATGAGAGAGCAGTAAACTTTCAGGATCTTCCCTCCTTTAATATAAGCTGTACAGAGTGACTATTGGTTGCGTATTTACGATAGCTGATAGAGATTACGAATTCGTTAGTGGAGTATGTTTCGCGATTATCGTGTGGTAAGGAACCGAGACCAAATGCTTCCGGAGGAGTAAATATCATCACACGGAAAACAATCGGGTTCGCGCACGTTTCCCAGCTGTAGATAGTTACAGATCCGCGTATAGTAACGGCGCGCGATTGATGTATGCGCAGGCGGATCGTGCAGAAGGGCGCGCAAGACCGGTACCAAGCGTTCATGGCGCTGATCGACTCGGTGCCCATGCTGATGTCGCTGCAGCCTAACGAGCGCATGAAGCTGTCCGACGCCCTGGAACTCAGGTACCACAAGCGCGGCGAGTGCATCGTCAGCGAGGGCGATCCGTCCAACGGCATGTACTTCGTCGTGGATGGTGTGGTCGGAGTGTTCGTGACCAGGGGTGCGGGCAAGGGGGCCCGCGTGAACCGGATCGGCAAGGGTGGCTACTTCGGTGAGCTGTCGCTGATCACGGGCAGCAACCGCAACGCGTCCGTGTACGCCGAGTGCCCCGTCAAACTGGCGTTTCTGGATGCGGGCGCGTTCGAGCGCATGCTGGGCCCATGCATGGAAATTATGAAGCGCAACATACAGAACTACACGGCCCAGTTGGCCGCGGTCTTCGGCTCCGAACACGATTGATCGCCGCGCGAGCCCGTAGTCCCCCCGAACTCTCGATCATCGTTTATGGATGCAACTCTATAAAATGTTCCACTCCATGCATTCGTGAGGGATTATTTATTTTATTTTTCGACGAAATATGAGTGTCTTTCCGACGATATTTCTACGAGTCTCGGTGCTAACCGAAACAGTGTCCAAAGGAGAGGGGGGAAGAAATTAAGGGAAAAAATATTTGATCAATTTATAATATCAATATTAACGGTTCAATAAATCCTATTAGTTAACAATTTTAATCGATCATTAGTGATCATCATTTGAAGTAGAAGAAAAAAATGTATTATAATATATATATATATTTTATAGAACATGACGAGTATCAACCATTGTTCACTTTTACTTAAAAATTATAAATTTTATTAATATTATTAAGGGGGCTGAAGCGTAGCATGTTTTAAGGAGTAATATTTAGGCATTTTATATCACATGAACATTTGGGCTGTGTCAATGTGTGAGTATTAAATGAACATTAGTGTATGTAATCCGTTATCACGTTTATCGTACATCGGCTAAAATGCAAAATCCCGGAACTACGAAAATAATCAAAATGAACATTTTATTAACTTGTACAACCAGTGCTCGACTTGGCAAAATTAAAGAAGGGGGACTCTGTTTGCTTAAAAAAAATTGCGTCCCCAAAACTTGTTAAGCGTTATAATTATAGGTAGGGGGACGCTCAAATTTCTAAAATTAGAAGGGGTACGCCGTCCCACTGCGTCCCACTACAAGTCAAGCACTGTGTACAACTCTACGGTATATCCGTTTTGATGATTCAATATTATAATATAGGTAATAGTGTGGATAGTGTAGTACTGTAATAAGACATTATAAATAATAGTGTGGAAGCATATATAAATCTGGACCATATATATATGGAATTTAAAATCTGAACTGTACAAAAATGGACCTTATTTATTTGGACTGTATAATCGGATGTAAAAATCTGGATTTTATATATATATATGTATATATATATATATTGTTTTTTATTACCTACCCAACCCTTTAAAATAAATAAATATAATTAAGATTTATGCAGTCCAGATTTCTACATTTCAGGTTTATACGGACTAGCCGTCTCTGTGTACGCCACACACTTTGCAGTTAAAATAAAACGTGCTGAAAAATCCATTTCTTATTTCTTTTGAAAATGTTAAGTCACTAAATGCACAATCAAATCCTATATGTTTAATAGACTGAATCGTTTCAAACACATATCTCACATCAACAATTCTTCTCCCCTCTAAATTTTCCCAAAAATTATTAGTCTCCTCCACTTCAGTAGATACAACACTTAAACTTAAGTCGAGAATGTCTGATGAATTATTTAGTATAGGAGAGGGAATATTTATTTATATTTTTTACGTAGAAAATAAAATAAAACTTGGTAAAAAGTTTAGTTGAAAAAATAATATAACACATTGACACAATTTATTATTCGAAGAATCAAATGTTTTTCTAGATTTTTAACTGTCAAAAAGTTATTTTTCGTAAAAATTAGAAATTTTATCTAAATTCTAAACTTGAAACATACATAAAATAATTTAACTACATAGTAATTAAATAATAAATTAATTCATAGAGTTAAAGCGATGAAAAAAAAGATTATACAAAAAAATCACTCTCTAGGTACTACACATTATTTTCAAACAATAGCAGACGCTAGACTAATCAAAATTCAAAATTCGAAATTCGAAAATGAAAGTAAGAATATTATTTTTGGTCGCCATAGAATATTACGTATAACGTACCGGTGACGGATCAAAATAAGTACTCTGGGCAATAATTATTAATAATAATAAACTTTATGCGCTAAAAAGTACTAAAATATGCGTTAAAAAAACATCAAAATATGCAGTATAATATGCAGTAAAAAATTGGAAAATAATTGCTTAAAAAATAATAAACTGACTAATAACTAGTGTACACTGTACAATGAATTCGCTTGCATGCAGATGTATGCAGTCTCAGGGGCGAAGTGGCCCATTTGGAAATCTGGTATTTTTCAGATGGATCGATACCGACAGGTCTTTATGGGCCGGAACGCGACAACAATTAAAAATTAAAAAATAATTTTAAAAAACAAAATAAGTATAATTAGCGATAAATTGTTCAACATTTCAAATAATATTAAATGATCATTATTACAAATAAAATTTCTTGTTATACCTAATCTTAAAGTATGTGATGTTATTGAATTAATTTTTTTTTATGATTATTTTATAAATACCAATAAATTAACATCAGAGTATTAGATAATAAGATATCATAAAAACATGAAAATAAAATATTGAATGTCGATAATTATTATTTTCATGTGTGGTATTTCCAATTTTTCGTACACTCGAATATTTTTAAATAGATCAAACTGAAAACTACAACAATCCGTATTTTATAAAACCAAATCCAACCAGTCTGAAACATTTTTTCAAACTACATTCAGTTCAACCATGTGATAATTCAACTTTACCATTTGTTAGTAGAAAAACATTTATCCGTAAAAATAAAACAGTTAGAACCTGGTGTACATATGACAAGACCAACAAGAAAATGTTTTGCTCGGTTTGTTTAATTTTCTCAGTAGAAACTAACCCTTTTACTAGTGGCATGACAAATTGGAAACATATTTACCAACGAATCACTGAACATGAAAATAGTAAAAGTCATGTCCAATGTTGTGATGCATATTTTTCATGCACTGCCATCAAAAAGATAATGGTAGTTTATTAAACAGTAATCAAATGCATTTATATCGTGAAGAAGTTAAAAAAAAATCGACTAGTCTTAGAACGAATAATTGAAGTTATTAAAATAATAGGAAAACAAGGTTTAAGTGTTAGGGGAAAACGTAATGAGGCAGCATATTTTCTAAGAGATCCTGCGTTAGATCATGGTACCTTTTTGGAAATGATTATGTTGTTGAGTAAATATGATGCAGTGTTTAATGAACATTTAAATAGTATTATTACTAAAAGAGAAAATATTCGTTTAAAAGGATCCAAAGGAAGAAACAATTTTATGACCTTTCTTAGCCATTATTCCATTGACAATATCATCTCAACAATTTTATTAATAATAAAACAAATAATATCTGAGCAAATTTCAACCGCTGGTATGTTTTCAGTTTTAATAAATACCACTCAAGACATATCAATGATGGATCAATGTTCTATTATTCTTCGCTATGTTTTCAATGGAAAAATTAATGAAAAATTAATAGCTGTTAAAGCCTCGATTACACTGAGCGATTTTACTAGCGATTTAAGTCGCGCTTGTGTGAGCGTGTAGCGACTTGTCCGATTACATTGAGCGATTAAATTCGCTCGTTCGCTCGTTCGCTCACACGCATTCATGTGATATACATGTAAAAGAAAGTTGTTATGATATAGATAACTCATTCGTTTTCGTTTATATTTTAAATTGTATTATTTATTAATTATTTATTATTATTTATTTAACTGGGCCCTTTTCATTCTTAGAATATTTTGATAGGCTGCAAAGTCTTCGTATTTTAGTTCTTTTAATAATGTATTGAATGCACCATATTTCTCTCACCTTGAAATCCAACTTCTGATCCATAACCTTTTCTTTTTATACTTTTTCTTTTCCAACTCCTGTCGCAATAAATGAGAAATCACAATAACTCCTGCGCGAACTACAGCTTCCGACATTTTGACCGGTCACTAATCGCTGGCACACTAGCGATTTCACCAGCTAGGGCGATTACATTGAGCGATTTCACTCGTTGGAGTGTAAAAACGTCAGTGACTAGCGACTAAAGTAGCCCGGCCGTTAACATTAATCGTGAGCGAGTAGCGAGTATTCAACACGCGGCGAGTAAGCGACTAAGCTGATTATATTGAGCGACTTTAGTCGCAGCGAGTTAATTCGTCGGTGCCTAGCGTGTAAACTCGCTCAGTGTAATCGAGGCTCAAATGTTGTACAGAATCTACTGGAAAAGGTATGATGGAACTATTACAAAATGCCATGAATGAAGTTAATATTGACACATCAAAATGCATTGGTAATGCAACTGATGGAGCAACCAATATGCAGGGTGCTTATAATGGTTTCACTTCATGGCTAAGTAGAGTAGCTCCTGAACAAATTCATGTTTGGTGTTTTAGTCACATACTATATTTAGTAATTTATGATGCTACTAAGAATCTATTAATGGTAGCCAACTTTTTTTCTTTAATCAATGGATGTGCAGTTTTCTTTAAAGAGTCATATAAAAGAATAAATATATGGAGAAATATAAGTGAAAATAATGAATTTAATGAATGAGTTTAATGAATCTAATGAAAATTTGGAAATCGAAGAAGTTCAAAGTCAATTTGAAGTTAAACATATTTCTAAAAAGAAAAAAATGGCAAATTATGAAACACCTGATGATACTATTTTGAATGTTGAAAAACGTTTACCGTTGATGTATATAACAGAGTATTTGATACAATTATAAGTATGGAAAACCGATTTTCAAATAATAAAGAAATACTTGTTGATTTAACATTATTATCACCGATTAATTTTGATTCATTTGTGAATGGACTACCTAAAAATTCTTTTACTAAATAGCTGTAAAATTAAAACCATATTAGAATGAAGACAATGAAAATTAAATAAAAAATAAACTGTCTTAAGAAATTTAAAATTTTTCAAAATCTTGGAAATATTTAAAGAAATATGTAGATGACGAATATACTGAAGAACTGTACTTATACTTAAACATTGACACAGAAAATAAAAATGAGGAAAAAGACATATCAAAAACATGTAAAAACTGTAGCACTTGTTGTTACACTGCTATGGTAAAGTACAATCTTTATTCTAATGCTTACCCTACTTTATCCATTGCTTATCAGTACTTACTAACTTTGGCGGTAACACAAGTGGCCTGTGAAAGGTCATTTTCTACTTTAAAATTTGTAAAACACCGTTTGAGAAATTCAATGACAAATAAACACTTGGAGTCATTCATGTTGATAGCCATTGAAAAAAAAATTCTCTGTAGTTTAAATAATAATATGATAGTAAATAAAGTTTGTGAAAAATCTAAAATATTTTCTAAATTATTCTTATAAGTTATATTTATTAAAGTATACTAATTTATGACAGTATGTATAATATACATTGTATATGTTTTTATATATAAATATTAAATGAAAATATTAAAATAAAAAATGTACTTGTGTATTTTATGAACCATTTGATAAATCAAAGTTGAATTTTTTTAAAATGTATGTCTATATGTTAGCTCCTGAAGTAATCAGCTGATGAACTAATGAGCCGGTAAAATGTATTTTCAAGACCCGAAATTAAGTCCCATTCCGCCGCTGTATGTAGTATATAACGAACAGAAATAATATTGTGTATAAGCTGATAACCTAATGGTTAAACATAATTGTTTACGAATGACTAATGGTTATACAATTTGTTTATGTCATGTTACAAAATATTAATACAATGGTAAATTTGTATAAAAATAAATACGGGCCGGTGGTGGTCACTATTACGAGATCTCGGTACTATAAAGATTATAATATTATTGTTAAGTGCATTGGGAGCCGGAACAATACAAATAATAGCCGTTGATGAATTAATTTATTTTGTCCAACTATATAAAACTTGGGTTGTCATATATCTAATTGACGCGGACCCGTGCGACAGCCGTTACCGAAACGGCAGTCGCCGACCTTATCTCTCTCATCAACCACCACTCCGAGGCACGCAACGTCGCAGCGATACCCCGTCCTCCCATCCATCGCCTGACAGGGGACGCGAGCGGTCGCTACGACGTCCGACAGGTACCACCACGTAACCGGGCTGTTTTTCCGGATCGTGTACCGAGACACAACTCACACGTCCTCGACTCACATAGTTATTAGTGATGGGCAAATTTTTCTAAATATCGATATTGAATATCGATACGATATTTTAATATAAAATCAATACATTTTAATATAATATCAATACATCAATAATATCGAGCAATAAAATATCGATATTTGATATCGATATAAATTATTTTTACCAATTAAATAAAAAAAGTAAGTATACTGAATAATTTTGCTATTAAAGAATGGGTGTATACTTTTATATGATATAAAATAAATAAATAATACAATCTGTGAGAAAGAAAATTAATATATAAAATTGACTGCATCAAAATAAAAATAATTATTTTTATTTAAATTAATTTCAATTTTAATTTTCCGTCCTCATACAGAATTTCATTATAATTTTTAATTAAAAAAATAATAAATAAAACAAATTTGTAACAATATATTATTATTAAAACCAAATCAAAATTTAAAATATAAAATAAGACTGTGTAAAAGTATATAAATAACACTTAATATTTATAACATAATAATATTCTTTTGAGAAAAGAAAAATAACAACATCAAACTTGAGCATATAAAAATAATAAATATATTTTTAAAGATCCCAATACATTGCTGGTATTGTTTGTAAAAAACACAGCTTAGAAATCCTACTTTCAGAAATACGGTTTCTTTTTTCCGTTATTAAGTTTCCAGCTTTTGAAAAAAGCCGTTCAGAAGGAATGGAAGATGAAACTGTTGATAGGTATTTTTGAGCTACAACATATAAATGAGGAAATACTGTTTTGTATGATTCCCATACAGCTAAAACATCATTATTTATATTTATCAATGGTAAATATAAGTATTGTTTAAATTCTGCTTCCATGGTTGAATTAGAACTTTCAAGTATCTGTGATGATGCTAGATATTTAACCTTCTTGTGATAATTCCATATATCACTATTATTGTCCACTAAATTATCATTCACATTTTCTTCGGAATTTAACCTGAAATTAAAACATAATATACTAAATTAAAGAAAAAAATTGCTAAATTTTATTATTTTTAAATACCTTGAGTTGGAAACGTAAACATTTTCAGCAGATATCATCTGTCTTATTTCTTTGTTAACTATTTGTAGCACATTTGATTTAGCCAAAGGTTTTTGGAAATGAATGGTTTTGAATCTTGGGTCTATTAATGTGGCGATAGATAACAATTGAATAAATTCGATTTTTTGGAAACGTTTTTCAATTTCTTTTTTAAGTTTAATTTGAAGTTTTTGACCTATTTCTGTAGTAGCTTCTAAATTTCCAACTTTATTTTCCAATGTGTGCACTAGAGGAATAACTTTACTAGAAGTTATGTATTCTTGTCCAAACACTTCTTTAGTAACTATTTCAAACGGCTGCAATAGATGCAATAAATCTTTTATATCATTTAATTCGGCTGTTGAAACCATTTCAGGACCATTAGGTATTTCGAGTAAAACAGAAGAGATTTTTGGAGCCAATATTTTGAAACGTTCCATCATATAATATGTTGTATTCCATCTTGTTGGTACTTCTTGCTTTAATTTTAAAATACATCCTCCATGTTGACATTTAGTCAACATGTCAGCAGCAGTAATACTATGCTTGAAAAATGTTACTATTTGTTTTACTTTTTTAATCAATAAAACTAATTTTGGAACATTTGAGATTGCCCTTTGAGGAATGAAATTAAGCATATGTGCAAAACAATGTAAGTGTCGTAATTCTCCAAAAAGATCATTACTTGCTTTTACTATGTTTGCACCACCATCCGTAACAATACATACAACTTTAGAATTGGAAATATTCCAAGATTTTTGAACTTTGGTTATGGTTTCTCTTAAATAGTCAGCTGTGTGTCGCTCAGATAGCGGATGTACATCCAATACTACAGAAACTAATTGCAAATTTTGTATAAAATGCATAGTAACTCCTAAGTAGCTTTTACTATTTAAGATATCAGTCCAGGCGTCTGTTGTTAATGTAATATTTTGAACAGAATATATAAGATTTCGGTATACCTCAGTAATCATATCATACTTATCATCTATCATCCTGGTTATACTTCTTCTGCTAGGTAACTTGAATAATGGAGTAGCAACTTTTGAGTAAGCTTGAAAACCTTCTTTTTCTGATATATTAAGAGGTAGACCATCTTTGGCAATCATGAAAACTAGTGCATTAGAAAGTTTTGAATACTTAGTACCGCCTTCTGAAATTAATTTATAAAACACATAATTATTTTATGTTACTTAAATTTGGTTCTTTAACTTTGTATAAAGAACTAAAATAGCAATATAATATTTAAAATATCAATAATTTTACTAAATATATATAAAAATATATTACAACAAGAAAAAAAAATACATTAAAAACTTATATTTTTTTACTTAAGCTAATTTCTCATCTTAAACAACTGGTAATATTCATACAAAAAAATTGCAAATTTACTAAGAATTTGTTATTTTTTAGTTTGATAATTATTTATAGAATTTAACTTTGTAAAGGTACCTTCCTAATAATTACTATTTTATACTAATATTTTTGAGTATATATTTTAATATTATTTATATTTAATAGGTACCTGAAAAAGATTCAATTGAACGAAATGTTTCGTTTATTGGCATCTGGATTTGTATTTTCTTATTTGGTGTTACTGATGTTGTTGGTGTTGATGATACTGCACATCCACTAAAATATAAATATTTAGGTAATAATCTAATATGAGTTAATTTTAATTTAATGAACTTACAATTCCAAAGTAGTCTTAGAACCAGAAAATATTGAAGGATCATCCTCTAATTGTTCTTCGAGTTCTTTATGAGTTTCCATATTTTTTATAGAATCTGGTATAAAAACACGGTCAATAGGAACTAACGTGGATGTCGTTGGAATTGAACTAAAATATAAATTGAATATAATTTTACCTTTTCTAGTATATTACACTAATTTACTTCATTTATGTAATATTTACCTAAAAATATTTAATCCCAAATGGTTTCTTTCCAAATGTTTTTTTAAATTTGTTGTGTTTCCACTTGTTTTAACATTTTTAAAACAAATTTTGCATCTTGATGTCATCAAATCAATTACGTCAAAATTAGTTTTAACGTTTTTGTATAAATTATTTTCCGACATATTTTTACATTAAAGACACAAGAAAATCACGGTAGACATGGACGGAATACAGAGAAATGATAATGATTTAACGAATAAACTATATTTTTACGGTCGCCAGGGTATAAACTATAAATACATGTATAATAGCATAGAGAATATTCACAAATTATCATTGTTGATTTGCCGTTTAGAAATAGGAAAACCAAAATATGTAATCTATTTTTATTTACACGGACCTGAAATTATTGAATTTAAAAAAACCGGTATCAGTAGGGCTGAAATATCGATAAATATCGAAATGTATAGAAAAAGAAATATCGATCCAAAATATCGATATAAATTTATTAAAATATCGATATTTCGGAAATATCGATTTTTTTTGCCCATCACTAATAGTTATCTTGTGTTATTGTGACATCTTTGCAGTGTACATTATTGTTATTATTATTATTATTAATTCTTTTTTATTCCTTTAATTTTGTACATAAATATGTATATATATATATATATATATATTTTGTGTCACCACAAGTCCGAAGTTGTTTCTTTTTTTCTTATATTCAACTTTTTGCTCACCGCACCGCGACCGTGCATACAATCGTCACCTGTGTGCCGCGTCATAATATTTTATTATTAAACTACACATTTTTTTAAAAATTTTTGTTAAATCCATGAAATATGCATATAAACGTTCTTAAACCCAAAATATGCGAATTGGTACAAAAAATGACAAATTATGCAAAATTATGCAACAAAAATGTTTATATCTGAAATATATATACTATGAATCGAATTTGTACCTATCGAATCAGAATTTCAATATACACTTTCTAGACAAATATGCAAATGCCTAAAGTTCCGAGCCTTGATTATTATTATATTATTCCCACCGCCAGCACGCGTCTCTTTATCTTATATATTCCAGGAATCAATTATTGGCAATTTATTTTCAATTAGGATAGGACAGCCGATATAATTCCGCACGCAGATGCACATGTCAAGGTATGCACTTTCAAAAATATTTTTGTATACTCGTGACAATGAATAATGTTAATAAGCTGGCGAAAAATTAACATACTTCTAGTAATTCAAATTCAATTTTTAAAAATTATTGGAATTCGTCAGCCTCTTTTTTTATGAATTGTAGCAAACAGATTTTGGAAATCTTGGAGAGTTTACGTGGTACAATTCCAAATAACTTTATTTACTTTCTCAAAATTAACTTGTACTTTTAAGTGATTACAAGACAAAAAAATTAAAATTTTTTTCCTATAGATCATAGAAAACAAGCTAACAAATTCAAATTATTATTCAAAATTAAAATTAGACTACTAGAAATATGTTTATTTTTCTCCAGCTTATAGGTATATAAATGCATGAAAAATCCAATCGTTTAGAACCGCCTTAATATTTAATTATTAATTAAAATTCATTGCAATCACTCATTTTTATATATATATATATATATATATATTTGTTACGATACAAAATTATATTTAGGACACAAGACATTCATATTTTATTCGTAAGCTCTACAATTAATACAGAAGTTTTGTAAAATTTACCTTGGTAAGGTGACAATAATTCAAAAACTTGTCGTTGATTTCACTAAATGTATATTTTTTTTATTATGTTTAATAATTTGCATAAAAAGTAAAAATTTAAGTTACAACCTATAAAATTCGGAAATAGATTTTTCTGTCAAGACTATATATAGGTACATCGCTGATTAATTTAGCTCCACAGACATTTTGATAAAATTAGTGATTGTATAGGTAATATATTTTTTTATTTTTCAACTTATTTACCAAGTGAAATATGATATTGATTCAATTTCATTAACACTAATTATAAATATATTGAAATAACTATCATTATATTGCTTATTGGCTATTGCTATGAATTTAAGTAAAAATCAACATTACACGTTAAATCATTAAGATAAGTAATACAATTTCATGTTTAATGATATTTAAATTAATAAGTTTTAAATATTGCAGTGAAATATATATATATATATTGTTGGGAGTAATTTTTTATTTGATTTATGATCTAAGCCAACAGTAGGTTATATGATTTGGTATTTCAAACTCAGTACAGAGTTTGCATCATGACTATATTTTATTTATTTATTATCTATTGGTATTTAAGGATTGGAAGGACTTATTAAGACAAATAAAATTAAAATAAATAAAATAGAAAAACAATTTTTATTTTGTACATGTAAAAAAATGTTACAGAAACATTGACTGTAAACAGTGCATAATATATAGGTACTTATATCAGCCTTCACGTGGGCAAATAAATATCCAGTACAATTTAAATAGTACCACCGACAAGTGTTTAATACATTGAAATTTTAAGGTTCCTAGTAGGAACAAATTTTATTACTTTATCGAAGATTGGCTTTTCAAAAACAAAAATCTATATATATGAAAATAAATAAATAAATAAATAAATAAATAAAAAATGACGTGGAAATATGAATAATTGTACAATTTTCCTAATAATTTGTATTAATTTAACAAAAAAAAAAAAAGATCAATAAACTTATTAATTACCACTATTTTTGGTTCTGTAACTTACACATTTTATGTAAGTTTGAGAGGAGATATGTATTTAATTAAAAATGAATAATGTAAATTAAAATTAAAGGAAAAATTATTAGTGAATCAATATGAGTATTATATTAGCGTTTAAGTCTTGGGACAGATAACCAAGTAATTATTAAGAAATTTTATAACAAACAAAATTAATAAGTTTTGGTTATCTGTCCTTAATAACTTAAACACTAATCAAAACAGTATAATATTAACGTCTTGCATATTAAAAAATCTCAACCATATATAATATACACCATTTAAATACATTAAGTAACAATGTACAATTGGTTCGAGCTAATAAAAATAAACAAGACATTTTATTAAATTAAAATTATTTGATTTCAAAGAACCACCACAAAATAAATGATAAAAACACTGTTAAAAAAAAAAAAAAATAAGAGAACCCCAAAAAAATTAAATAAACATATAATTTTTTTTTTAAATATAAGTATCTTTGAGGTCGATTTGAAAATGTTTTATAACATTTGTGATGTTTAATATTTTCCACGTTACCTTTTATTATATAATTTTACAACATACATAATTCAGTGCATATTATGCACATAAATATACGTGTATACATACATATAAATAAATACACATATATTTATACGTACATACATACATAACATATATAATGTAGATAAAAACCTTAAAACCTGTAATTAAACCTACAAGTAATATTATTGAAGTACATTTCGTTCACCTAATTTATATTTTAAATTAACTGATTTTGTTCAGGTCATGTATATAATACTCATTCACACACATCCATTAGAGGATCAACGATCCAGAATATGGTTTATGTACATTGAAAAATTTTAAAAATCATAATACAAAAAAAAAAAAAACAATAGTACTAAAAACTATATAAGTTTTTTTTTACCTATAATATTATTTGTTTTATGTATACACATATTTATATATCATTATTTAACATATATACAAAATTTAGTTACACATAAAATACATCAGACACTTTAGGGCTATACAGAAACAATGGTGACTGAGGAAATATGATCACATGACTAAAAATTAAGTTATTAACAAATATCAAATAAATTATATACATTTTCATATTATTGTGTGCGTAAACGACACATTAGCTGCTTTTTTTTAAAGAAAGGTAAAAAAATAAAGAGAGGTATAAATTACCTAACAACAGAATACTGGTTAAAATTAAAATTAATAACTTAACGGAAAAAAAATAATGTATACGAAATAATTAATTGCCAGGGAGAAAATAGTATGTTTACGCTTGGTAAAATATCAGATTTTTTTTATAGATGCATACACATCTACAGAGTGTAAGTTTTTCAAAATGAAAATACACTATCACAGTTGTATAAAAAAAATCACTAAACAATTTTATTTTCAAAAAATTAATAAAAATTTGGGAATCAACATTTTTAAAAATAGACTCATTAAAAATAATTATTAATTATGATGAAATTATTTTAATTTCATTTTTTTTTAATTTTAGAGAGCAATAAAAGTTATATATGTACATTTTGGATATCTCAAATTTGTCTATAATAGCAAAGTTTATAATATTGTCAATAAATTAATTTTAATCAAGAAAATATCAAACTTCATTTGAGCTTTAATTTGAAAAAAATTAAAGAACTAAACAATTATATTATATTTAAAAACTTAAACGTCAAACTAAATACGAATAAAATTTAAAAAAACATACCTTAAAAAATACTATTTAAAAACAAATAATACTTTTAAGAACAAAATTTTAATTTAGCGAAACAATCAAAAATGCTAATTAAGAGTATCAAATACTAGGAATGGTTTAAAACCTCATTAGCTTTGTAGCAGTGATCATATAATTCACTATTCCGGCGGAGGTGATGGCGAGTGAGACTTGGTTCTTGCAGCTGCAGCAGCAGCAGCTCTACCAGCATTACTACGCAAATTTTTACGTTCCACATTCTCATCTACTGAAGTTTTCTTTGATCGACATCTTTTACGGTTTTTGCCACTATTTTTATCATCGTTTTCATCAACCATTTCAGGTTTATGTTTAGTCATATCAACACTTTCTGCATCAGATCTATCTAATATTTGTGAATCACTTTCTGTATCTACATTCGTAGGCTGAGGAATATCAACTTTTTTGTGTTTTTCTCTTTGCTTCTCAGGAGACTTAGCCTTCATTGAACCAGATAAATCAATCCCGGACTCTGACGTATTATCCCTATTAGTAGTATGTTGCACTTTTGTCATAGTAGGAGGTACTGGTATAGTGATAGGAGATATCATGTCTTTGGCACGTTTGCTAGGTCTTTCGATAGATGTATTCTGTTCAGATGGCCTCTTCAAAGATTTTTCAATCATTTCCATTGTAGGAAAACTAAATTTTTTATCATCCGGTAATGATCTAGCAAATAGTTCTGGCGATGCTTTACTTAAATTTTCAAGAGCCTCTCTCATCTCTTGTTCTCTTGTTTTCTTTGAATCACCACTACCACTTGCCAAAGCTCCTGCTGCCAATACATTAAATGGCGGAATACTTGACATGAGCGACCGTAAACTGTCAACATCTCTTGAATTTCGACTTTTTGATAAATCTGGTGGAGGTAAATTTCGTCCAGCTCGTGTTAAATTCTCAAGAAGATCTGTAGAACTTTGATTAGGTGATGGAAGGTGATGTGTGCTAGTTCTTGGTTGACGTTGGCTAGATGATGTTACAGTACTAACATTAGAATTTTGACCTCTACTACTTGATGACTTATGACGAGAAAGTGAATTTTGAGAAGTGTTTGGCGATGATACATTTAAACTTCCATTTAATAGTGAAAGACTATCATATGCAGACGATATAGCTCCAGGCTGTAATGAAAATGGATTTAATCCACCTAAACCCAAGGGTGTGTATAACAAACTCGGATTTGGGAAGAAGAATGGTAATGAACCAGGCAAACTCGAAGGTATATTGGCTGATGAAGATGGAGTATTTTTAGTATTCGATTCCGATTTTCTTGATTTAGATGATTTTGAGTTCATTTGAGGATTTTGTGTTGAATGAGAACTATCATTCATACTCGATGGATCAATACCAGCAAGTCCAGGTAGACCTAGGCCAGCGAGGTTTGCAAACAAGGAATTAGTTAAATTCATATTACTCAATCCACCCATACCTCCTAATGCACCAATATTTGGTAATCCACTAAAAGGCATAAGCAATGGGTTATTCTTTGGATCAAAATTTCCCATTGATAAACTTGACAACAAAGTTGATGGATTCAATCCACCTAGTCCTGCAGATGCTAATGATGGGAAAGACAAATTAGGAGCCATTGATGTTGATGGTTGATTTGTTGATAAAGATTGTCCTGAGCCAGCACTTTCTCCACTTTGCATCGGTGGTCGACCAGGGCCTTTTTTGCGTTCTGTTTGAGGCAAGCGCTTCTGTAGATCATGGGTCAAATTTCCACGTTCTTTAACTAAATCAGCCCACTTAGGATCTACATCATAAGCTGGGTTTTCAAGCAACCACTGTCCAATTCTTTTTAATTGAGGAGCTTTTGTGCCAGTTAACTATAAAATAATTATGATTTATTAAAATACATTCAAAAATAAAGTAACTAAAATTAATTAGTTTAAATTTAATTTTGAATCTATACCTTCTTTCCAGTTGTCCTGTTTATGACAGACACATTTTCTTCACCAGTTAATTTTTTCCAATCTAATAATGTTGGATCTACTCTAGGCCGTCTTCTTCTGGGGGCTGATAAAAAGTCAGCAGACATTGGTTGGTCAGTCATTAGTGCATTTTGTTCTGCTAACCATTTGTTAACCTAAAATATACATGGTTTATGAATTGAAATAATTATAAACAGTAAATGACTAAATTAAAATAAGAATTACTTTAGCTTCTTGGGAAAATGATGAAGCACCTAGTTTTCCTGAATATTCAGCAGTACTCTTTGCCATACTATCCATCATAGCTTCATACATCTTACGTTGTGTTTGAGCAACAGCAGATGCACTTGATGTCTGAGACATTTTCAATACCTATAAGAAAATAAAAAACCGTTAAGAGAAAAATTAATTTTATAGAAATTAATTAATTATTGTATTATTACTTGTTGCTGTTGGGCTAGCTGTTGTTGTAAAGTTGTATGTTGTTTAAGTAAATTAGACTGTTGTTCATGTACTTGTGAAGATAAAAATGCAGCAAGTGGATCTAATTTGCTTGATTGTCTATGAGCTACTCCAATTTGCTGAGATAAGTTTTGTTGTGATTTATTTGATGGAGTAGGATAATTATGGGCAGTAGAAGTTGATGCCAAGTGTTTTTTCTGATCTGTTGACGGTGACGTCTGCTGTTCTTTGGCAGCAGAGAGACCAAATACAATTTCATCAAGTTTACGACGTTTCATTTCTTTTCCAACAGCTGGTTCATCAGATGGCTATAAAATAAAATAGTGTTTATAAAATGAAAAGTATATAGTTAAGACAGATAATTTATTACTTACACGTGGTGTACGAACACAATTTTTCTTTTGCATTAATTTGTTTAACATGTCATCTAATTTGCTTTTTGGTGGTGTCGATGAAGTTTGAGTTTGTGTCACATTTTGAGTAGGTTTATTTTTAAATGGCATTGAAAAATCTTGAACCTCATTAACAGATGTAGATATTGCTCTAGGTCCTGAACTCAAATCCATGCATCCTATCTGTGTACCACCACTTAAAAAAAAAAAAAAAAATATATATATACACAAAATAAAATAAACTATCATAACAATTGAAATTTAAATTATGACGTGATCTAAATATTGTTTTAACTTATGAAATAAGGTAGTTTCTGAATCAAATATTAAGTTTAAAATTAGTTAAAATTCTTACCCAGAAGATAAATCCATAGGTCCAGTAGATTGTTGTGTTGTGGGAACTACCGTAGTTGGAGTTTTCGGATTGTTTAAAACTTTAAGATCATAAGCCATATTCATTAATCTAGAAGATGTATTATGCGATTGCTGGTGAGCTGGTGGTGGTTGAATAAGTTGTGGTGTTACAGGAGTTGATCGTCTGAATAAAAATTTAGATTTTTAATACTTTGTTAGTATGTACTTTAATATAAAAATAAAATCATACCTTGAATCTTCCGAAAGAGATTCATCAGTTTGTTCCCATATAGGAGCGGGAGAATGTTTAATTGGATGAGCTGGGATAGAGTTAGTATTTAACAATGCATGTAACTTTGCTGTAATAAGAATTCAAAAAAAATATAAATTATAAGAAATAATTATAAATTATTTATTAATATTTAAATTTACCTCTTTCTGTTTCCACATCAATAGCAATATGTCGTTTACGTTTTAAATTGGGATTGGAATGAGCCATTATGTTATTGGATTTCAAATTTGAATGTTCATTGTGAATATCAGATAGAGTTATGTGATCATGGGATACTCCAATATCTCTTTTAGAAACAGTTATATCTGTTTCTTCTAATCCCATTCCACATATACTTGGATTTTGGGCATAAGCAGAAAACTTCTTACTAACAGGCCATTCCCCTGTTTCAACACATTCTACTATGTGCTGTAAACGGACGACAAGAGCATGTTCCTATAAAATAATTAAAAATATTCATGTAAAAATACATTTAATGCATTAAATAAAGAATAAAAATATATGTCAAATGGATTGTAATTTAACCTTAGGCCATTTAATTGGGTTCTGGTAACTTGTAGCTAAAAGATGAGCAATTGTTTGATCAATTTGTTGCAAAGGCTTATGCATTGGTAATTTATCTACAGTGGGCGTAGATACATCTTTATGTAAGACTTCCAGTTCTGGAAACATGGCTTTTAATCTATCTACACTATCTACAGAGGAAATTTCTTTAGGTTTAACAACAGCGGGTTCAATAATTTTAGTAATAGGTTTATTAATTGCACCAGGAGGTTCATTAGTGGTGTCTTTAATTTGTGTACTGGTTGTTTCGATCTCTATTTTTGATTTTGATTCAACTTCATCACTTGCAGCAGTTTTTTCAATTTCATTTGTTTGTGATTCAACTTTTTCTGTTTCTTGTATATCAGTCTGTTTACTCTCCTCCATATTAATAATTTCTGAGCTTTCATCATTTTCTTGGTCAACTACTTCAGAAGATTTTTCATTTAATTGCTCTTCTGTTTGAGTATCAGATACTTCTTCTTTTTCTTTATTACAATCGTCATCAGAAATATCAGGTTTTGAAGTTTCTTCGCTATCCACATCCATAGGTTCATCAAGTTTTATACAAGGAGATGTTACCATTTTTTCTACATTATTTTCAACATCGTGATTTGTATCATCTGTTACATTTTCAGTTGATGATTCGGTTTTATCAGAAGATATTGGATCATTCATTTCAACATTTTCTGGTGAAGTTTCTTTCGGTTCAACAGATTCCAATTTTACTTCAGAATCTACTATTTCAGTCTTATTAGTATCAGACATTGAACCATCAGTAGTGATAGGTTCTGATTTAGTTGGCTCTATTATAGTAGCCTCTGTTTTAACCACTTTTGGATTAGTAACTTCTGTTTTGGTTTCTATTTTAGCTGTTTCTATTTTGGTTGCATCAACTTTAGCTGCTTCAATTTTAGCTGTTTCAATTTTGGCAGCTTCAAGCATCTCACTAGTAAAAGATCCAGATACTGCAGATAACAAATTTTTTTGGACAATTTCACGAAAAGATAATTCAGGATCATTCAAAATATAAAAATCAGTTCTTCCTAAACCATGCCTGAAAATAAATACAAAATAAGTTATAAGACATATAAAAATAATAATATAAATAATATTATAAAAATATTTCAATGTGCATACAAATTCATTAAAAATAATATAAATTATAAAATTATTACTTGGAAACTCCAATGAGTAAATCTTTATCATGTTTCCCTGGTTGCCACCAATCAGGTACATCAGCAGATACTTGACAAGCTTTTAAACGTTCATCTAAACTAGGATGATTTAATGTTTCTTCGCGTATTTTGACAATTAAATTAATACGGTCAAGTGCTCTACGAGCCCTTTCTTCATTAATTATTTCCATAGGAAAATCACATAATTCTAAAAATTATTCACAGATTAAGTAAACAATATTTTTGTAGCTATAAATAATTGGTTAATTTAAAAAATTATAACTATTAAGTAAACTATTAACAAAAAATAAATAACAATACCTTCTTCTTCAGTTAATGTTTGGCCACATAATCGTTTACACATTGCATAGAATGAGCGGAAATATTCAGTTAAAGTATCGTCATACTTCTTTTCTAATCTAGCAACACTTTTAAATTTAGCCCAATTATAAGTCTTTGAGACCCTGAAATAAAAATGTAATTATTAAATGTTAATTATTACAATATATAATGTATACCTATCATAATCTACACCATAAGTTGTAACAGCTCTATAAAATTCTTGTTCTTCTTTGCGGGTCCACTTTTTCTGACTTATTTCAAGTCTTTGACGTTCACGTTCTCTTACAAATTGTTCATATTTTTCACGTCTTTCAACCTTCTATTTAAAAAAAAAAAAAAAAAACATTTAAAAAAATTAGAAATTCATATTTGTAATTTATGTATGGTCATATAAATATTTTACAATAGAAATACCAAAAAATTAAGTAGAATATTATAATTTATGAATAAATTCAAGTATATTTAATATTAATTTAATAATGATTAGTGATTTATTAAAATTTAGAAAAATGCAATACTAAACTAAATCCATGCCACCACTATTTTAGTATTCTAAAAATAAATTACATTAAAAACAAAAAAGCAATTTTTAGTATATAATATACACAAGCAGATATCAAGCATTATAAGTAGTGCTAAAATTAGACATAGATAAAAGTGTAATAGTACTGAAAAAAATTATAAACAAAAATATTTATGTAATATTTTTTTACAAAAAGTTTATGTTCGAATCACACCTGGGGGTAAAAAAAAAAAGATCAGGGCTAAGAAATTAAAACTCTCTTAAAAATGAAAAAAAATTATAAAATCCATATTTTATTTTTAAATATATTTTTTTCTCAATTTCAGATTTAAGACCAATTTTTATAATAATTTTAGCTGTGATTATATAAAATCCATTTACTACCTATTTTTTTTTGTATTTATCTATTAACAAATATTGAACACAATTTTAATATTCTAACATTAACTTGTAATGGGTTTATTTCTCACAAACCATAAATAAAGATACTAGAAATAAGAGATTATTTATGTCAAAAAAAAAAATTAATTTTAATTGATTATTATTTATCAACTAGGAATTAGTTCTACATATTTTAAAATTAAATGGAGGGACAAGAGAAGATAGAATAAGGCAGGAATACTTGAGAAGGTGTTGATGTAGCATCTATAGTGGACAAGATGAGAGAAAATAGAATAAGATAGTTTGGGCATGTGATAAGACAAAATGAAACAAATGCAGTTGTTATGAAAATGAATATTGAAGGTAAAAGAGAAAGAGCAAGATCAAAAAAGAGATGGTTGGACACAATTGAAAATGATATAATATCCAGTTGGTATGTGTGTAGATGTCGAAAATCAAGACGGTTGGAGTTTTAGGACTAGGGTGAGTAGTAAAAGGGGGCTTCTGACCATGGTTTTTCAGTTTATATTTTTCGAGGTAGTTTTACTGCGGTAAATTTACGAAATTTGGTTTCTTTTCAAATGATTTTAGCTTCTTTTATCTAGTTATACCACGATATGTTTATGAAATTTACCTTATTTTTAAACCATATTATTAGCTGCATTTTTTTCAAATTAATAAAAATTTTATAATTTTTTCAATTTAACATTTTATTAAGAAATATCTTAAATGTTGATATAAGAGTTATGACTTGAGTCGAAACCTAAGAAATATATTATATATATTCAATATTAATATATATTATTCTATCATTCTATGGTTAAAGTCCCCTTTTACTACTACTAGGGTGGCCAAACCCAAATAGTTGGGAAAAAAGCGAAGGAAAATAAGAATTATTTTTAGATTCTAGAGTAGTTAAATAGTTATTTGTAACTTTGATGAAATCTGATAATATAATTAGTTCGACTATTTCCGTTAAATTAATTAAATTCCATTGGTTAATAAGAAAATGTATGAATTTTTATTCAGAAACTTAAAAATAAATTTAAATACAATGGGAGACATTTTTCACTATAGACACAATATATTTTTAAACAAAAGGTTTATTAGTATTCAATTTTAATTTTTAAAAACATTAATAAAAATTTGTTTTTATCATATAATTAAATACAATAAAACTTCTTGGCACTTCTTATTTTATTGTTTAATAATTTATGGTATAGTATATTTTTAGATATTCAATTTGATTTCAATGTAATATTTATATAAAATAATAATCTAGCTAATACATTTAATAGAACAATAAATCGCGGAAAAATATTTTAAGTGTCCTGCCATTATTTTTAAAAATAGCTTACACAGACTATATAAATGAACATATAATATAACATAAATATAAATAAAATAATATAATATTAATATGTATACAAATAAATTTAACATTAAGGTTAGATTTATAACTATTTAGGAAAACAAAAATAAAGATATTGATAGCTTTCCATTAGTTAATCATTTTCAAATCAAATAAAAAAGAAATTAAAAATAATTAAAACATTTTATTTGAAAATAATTGATATATTACAGATATTAAAAACATGGAATTAGCAGGAAATATAAATGCCCTTGAGTATAAATACTCTTAAAATTCAACAAGTAGTTTAGTTTTACAGATCAAAATTATAAAATTACTTTTAATAACAGTCTATAAGCTCCATTAAATGTGTATACTTTAATAATGTATAAAAATAGCAAGTAACTTAGAATGTCACAGTTCATAACTCTTGACAATAATAAAGTGTACATACACATCTGTGCAACTTCGAATGAAAAATAAAAATAAATAAAAGAGGTTTAAAAATTACTATATTCATATAATATTGTAATAATATATGCAAGTTGCTAGTAATGAATTCACACCATGTAGATTATGTGATACCATTCATAAATATTTCCTATAGATTTCTACTTAAGGAGTATAAGATATAACTTAAAATTATTTGATAACTATACATAGTTTGAACATGAAATGTTAATTTTTTTTAACGGGAAAAAAAAAATATTAACATCATACAACCTTCCACTGAATCAATCATATTATAATATTAGCATTCAAAAACTCTGAAACTAAAATGTATTAATTGACGAATAAATATTTTTATTTAATTTGAAATTTAAATTACTAACAAAATATATGGGAACATTAATAAATAAAATGTGATAGTTTTAAAATAAACCTTTTAATGATAAACACCAGTGTTATTTGTTTATTACAAGGGCCGTAAAATATTAGTATATATGATTATTTAATTTTGGTACATAGTTAAAAACATAAATTCCCTATTATTTAAACAATTTTGATGGAAAAAAAATGTCTATATCTTAAACCTAAAAGGACTATAACAGTTTTACATTAAATTATGGGCACATTACTAAAAAATTTGAGAATCACCGTTTCAGTGTTTTATATTATACACCACTAAAAATAATGAAGTAAGAACTAATTTATAATTTACATATTATATATGTTTAGTACTAAAACAAAATGCAATGATAGAAAAATGTAAAATATTTAAAAAGATATTTGCATTAAAAGCCAACATTTTTATTTTTTTGCTTTTTCTATAATTATTTTAGTAGTTCCAAGTTTTATTCAACCACAATTATTTCACTTTTATCATAAAGTATCACTTTTATCTTATATAACCAATTTTTTCAATAGTCATTAATGAATTTTTGATTTAAATATAAAATTTACTTTATTAATTTAATCATTGCTAATATTTTTGAGTGTGATGTTAAGCTGTAACACTTCCATTTTTTTTTGTTTTGCCAAATCAATTTCATTTAAATAAAATAAATAAAATGATTTCTAAAATTACATTAGAATAATAAATTAGGTTAATTTAAAATTTGAAATATCAGTTGTTTCACAAAGCATTTAAATGTAATTGATACTATAAGTAAACAACAAAGTACATAAGAATTGAATAATAACTGAGATAAATAATATTTGACCAGATTTCAATAAATATTAGGGATTATTTTTTTCATGAATCTGTTTAATTAATCTTTCATTGGAATTTAAAGAATAATTTCATCAATTTATTTTTATTTCTTAATTTTTTGTGTAATCTATGTTAATAGACAAAATACTATTTTAAATGTCAAGTATCCCATAATTAAATTTATAGCTTTATTTATTATTTATAAGCGAAGTTATTAAGAGTCCATTCCACAACTTTATAATTAGTATTAGTGCAAATCCATTTCAATTTATTCGTTGACCAGCAATTAATTTTGATGAACTCAGATACGAACCCAAAGATACATGGCCAGTTGTTGCCAGTCCCATCCGGGCTGTCCCGTACCAAGGAGGCTGGCAACGTCTCCTGATAATTGGGCTGTACCTGACGTCGCTGCGCACGTTGATTCTCCTAGCTACGAACACACAAACATCCATGCAACTAAACATAGTCTACGTCAACAGATCTACTAAACTATAATATTATTTTTAACGAATATTTCACATGAAAACCATAAAATTATTATATTTTAGCTTCAGAAATTATCTATTACTTCTAGCTAATAGTCATTCAGTAAAGATTAAATTATAAAATAATAAAAATGGTGTTAGACGCCCAACTACATGTGTAAAGCATTCTAAATACATTATATGTCTACGTAAATAATAAAAATAAAATATATAATAGAATCCATAAAGTAGGAAGGTAGTAATTAATCTTTAATACATTTTTTTTTATCTTTATAAATTATTTAAAATTTTTGGAAATAAAAAACAAAATGTATGCATTATAAAATAATTAGTGAGAATAATTAAGATGGTAATATTATAATAAAATATATATTTAATAAAAATATTTTAGTTTATAAATATAATAAATTATAAATAGACACATAACTTTTGATAAACCATAGAAAAGATTTTAAACTTTATCAGTCAAGTCAACTATCAATTACTCACATCTTTTGTGGTAAATAAATTAAAATATAATTAAAATTAGAAATAAATGATTGATAAATAAATTATCTCAATTGTGTTACTTTTTGATTGAATGAATGAATTGATTGAATGTATAATAAATATAAATTAAGATATAATAAATAGATAAGGAACATCAATTAAATTAGTAATGAAATATTACAAGAAATATGTCCTTAAATATTAAAATAGTATAACACTAATGGATAAATTTTATATTAGCAGGATGTTTGTAATTTGACACAAAAATGATTTGTTCAAATATTCAGTCTCACAAATACGTGCATATTTAAAATTCTCAAAATGTATATCGTTTAATATTTAATAATGATTATATTGTAATTATGACTTAAGATGGTAATTTTATTTAATTTTTATTGAAAATTAAAATAGTCAAAATGTTTGTGTGTGCGCCGTGTGTATATAATATATTATATACAAAACAAAAATATAACACAACGACACACAAGGCCATATCATTAATACTACCACATCATTCACACACACGAAACCAACATAAAGAAAAGAATATTTATACAGACATTTATGCCTTCATATAACCCAATTCATACATATTTTCAATTTTAAAATTATATTTTCTTTTAAGTAAAATAATTCAAAGTAATTTTGGATGCTAGGAATAATTAGATGGTTTTATTCAAGGACAATTAAATAAAAAGTATCAAACATAGCGTGACCACATACTAGTATGATAAAATATATTTTATGGTGTGTCCTGAACAATTATTTTCTAGATTTTGCTTCAGTTTTTGTATTCAACTATAAATAGGTATACCACAAAAGTGCATGACAGTTGACCAACAAAATTGTACTGATACATGATAAATTCAAAGATTAATTTTCCATCTTCTTACTTCATGAAAAAATAACCTGCACCAAACCAAATACCGTAAGAATTCTACTAATTAAATAGTTCTATTAAATTAAATACACCCATGAATTTGACAATGATAAAATAATTTAACATTTTTTAAATTTTTTATTGTTCTCCCTATTTTAAATTTTTTAAATGCAGTATTCATACTTACAAAAATAATAGTTCTAAATAAATGAAACATATTAACTGGTGACTGATCAATAAATCATAATGAAACACAAAACAAATATTTCAAAATATTTTAATCTATGTGTCATGCTGAATGAAAGGTTCAAATGAAAATCAAATAAAACGAAAACAAATAAAATAATATAGAATATTCACAAGACACACACAAAAAGATTTACCGGCAATGCCTGTGATGAACTGATGGAATCCATCAAAGATCTCGGCGATCCAAGATCATATTTATACATGGTCACATCCTGCATAGAAACAAATACCAATTTTGGAGTTCCAGAGTTCATAATAGTAATAAAAATAATATTCCTATTCTAACCTATCAATTTTAAATATTTACTTAGCATAAAAATAAATGAAGAGAACAATTTTCTTAGCCAGTAAATTCAGGGTTATTAGCTAAATATTTAAGGCATAAATGCTTGATTAACTTTTAAAAAAACTTATTCAATTTTAAATAGGATAGAATAGTTCCCTAAATAAAATATTTAATTGGTAAATCTTGACTAGAAATAATATTTATCTAAAATTAAATATTCATATCTTTAAAATATAACTAACCTTAGCTTTTTGCACCAATTTTTGTTCTTCTTTTTTGAAGTTTCTTTGACATGTACTTATTAATCGTCTTACTCTATTGTTCAGATCACCAATAGATGGCCATATACATTCATCAGCTGTTACAGATGTTGGTGTTTGTGGGGCTAGAGCAACAGTAGTAGTATTATCTTCAGTTGCTAATGGAGTTGATGGTTCTGATATTTCTTCAGAATTAATAGGTAATTCAGTACCTTCTTCGTTATCATTAAATTTGACCACAGATGTTTCTTTTTCATCACTGATAAATTAATTTTATTATACTTCTGGTTTCTATACTTAAATACTAGATACCAAGAAATAAAAACTCACAGAGTTGGTGGTCCACATTTAACAAGGAAGCTCAAAGCAGGATCGCTTCGCATTTGATTATAGGATTCAAAACCATGTTTATAAGTGCCTACCAAAAGTGAACGGTCAGCATCTCTATCCCACCAAGGCGCGGGAGTCAAATCACAAATTGGTGTATTAATTGGCAAAGCACTAAAAATTTTAAATTTAAAAATTAATTTTAACATTATTTTCATAATAAATTATATATTTTTTTGACTATGTAAATATTGGCTAAATTGTATACATGGATAGTAATTAATATTAATTTAACTGACCTGACATGAACACCTTCTGCAACTTGTTGAGCAAACTCACCAACTATATCACTTTTTATGTAGTATAACATACGTATTCTTAACAAAACCCTTAAAATAAAACATTATCATTATAAATTTAAACAAACATAAAAACAAGATTAACAAACTTGTTAGCATGTCGGCTAAGATGTTTGCGATAGTTGCTTTCTAAAAATAAATCTCCATCATATTTATTATTTCTACTCCAATGTTCTTCATCAATTAATTGAGTCGAGTTGAAATCTTTTTGTTTAAGTTTTCGATATTTCTTTGATCCACGAGAACTTTGACCTAATAAAAATAATCCACGATTATATTTCAACCTAAATTTGAAGAAAATTATAAATTAAAATATTATAAGTATTTTCTTACCACCATGAGATGGAGAATCATCGGCGGAAATATTATCAGGAGTAATAAGATCCCAAATAAAAGATCTTATTTTTTCATCGCCACGATAAAAACGCAAACAATATAAAATCTAAAAATTATAAAGTTTTTAAAGAATAGCTTTAAAAAGTATTAATGAAGCTATTAATGACTTACAACAATGCGTGCTAGATCTTCTATGTCACTTTCCTTCCATCCTTCTCGAAAGTCGTTATGTTGCATTATTTCAGGCCAGCGACTCCAACTATCATTAAAAATGTATATATGAAATAATTACAAATATTAATTTTAAAATTAATAATCAGGATACAAACCCAAAAGTAAGAATCCCTCTTTCAACTTTAAAACATTCACTACGAGTCCAACAACCATAAACTACTTCACCATCTTTAGGTACATAATCATCAGGCAAAAATTTTGTGCGGAATTTTTTATTCTTTCTAGTTCGTCGACCTAAAAATATAAATATAAAACATACATTGATTGTATCATATACTCAAAATAAATATAATAAACAGTTGAATCTAAAATAATAAAAATTGTTGGAAGCTAAAATCAATACATATTTCCAACAATTTTAAATTTTGTTAGATTAATTTCAATAAAATAATAAAAGGTAAATTCAATACATAGACTATTCATCTGACAATATTCTAGTTATTGAAACATAGTAATGTATTAATTCACTAATTAAACTATTCTTTTTTGAAATATTATTTGATGTATAAAATTAACCTCTTCCACGTCCAACACCTAGACTGTTATCCACATCACTATCAGCAGAACCAGATGATTCTAATTCTGACATATCCATAACAGCTTCGTCATGACCATATCGTTTTATTTGTGTTCGTCGCCGAGGTTCTGATATAACTAAATCATTCTATAAACCAAAATAAAAGATTATAATTTAAATAAAATCTTTTATTAATCTAAATTTTACTTGATCTCCTCCTTCAGATGTATCAATATCTGCTTTTCTAGCCCATTTTTTCCAAAAATCAGGATCATCAATATCAATATCTTGTCGAATACCACTAGATGCAAAACTTGCTTTTGAAAAAGTTGAACCTTTTTCGCTTTCTAAGGTAATAACTTGAGTTCTACGACGAAGAATTTGATCAATATCTTCTTCACAAAATTTATCTCCTGCATTATCCTCTTCCATAACAGCACCATATGCTCCTATAATACCATTATATGATTAAGTATTATCATTTTTACACAAATATTTTAATTATTTAACCTTTTTTCAGTAAGTCTTCAATTTCTTTTTTTGTAAGTTGTTTATTATTTAGATCTTTACCCTGGGCAGTATTCATACTCTGAAGTATAGCTTTGTCTAATCCAAGTTTTAAGGATGCTTTATTAAACATCTCTCTTTCATAAGTATTACGACATAACAATCTATAGACTTTAACCATTTTTTGTTGTCCAATTCTGTGACAACGTGCTTGAGCCTGAACAATCATAACAATAATATTTTATTATTATTATATTTTAAACAACATTATACTCATACAATAAATTATACATAACCAAACTTAAATATTAAGAATATAGTACTTTATTAATTACCTGGAGGTCATTTTGTGGATTCCAATCACTATCATAAATAATAACAGTATCAGCGGCAGTCAAATTTATACCTAATCCTCCAGCTTTAGTACACAATAAAAATACAAATCTATCAGAATCAGGTTTACAGAATCTATCAATTGCTGCTTGACGTAAATTTCCTCGAATTCTTCCATCTAATCGTTCAAAAGGATATCTATAGCACAAAACAATTTTTTAAAACAAATCATTTAGGGTGCTTACATATAAATATTGAATACTATCTATCAATTTTGAAGAATACATTAAAAAGTAATGATGAAAATGAAATGATACACAGTCAACAATTTAGTAGTTAATGTCATCTACCAAACTCTAAAATTCTCCCCAGCGAGAAATTGTTACTATATGTGCACGAAGAATTTGCACTAAGCAGTGTTGCTAAACATATAACCAGGGTTCAAAACTTATAGCACTTAAAAACAATAATGAGCACTAAAATATGTACTTAAAAACAGTAAAATATGCTTAAAAATTTAAAAATACATTTAATAAATTTATTATTACGAAGTATAAATAAATATTACATAAATTAAAAGTTTAGAAAATTATAAACAATTATAAAATTGTTTAAAAATTACTGTTTCTTGAAATAGGTTTTTTCCCAGTTTTTTTATTTAAATTTGAAATTATTAAATAACTTTATTATTATCATCTACCAGTCATCTGAACTATGATTATTGGGAATCCTTTAGTTCCTTAAATTCATATTGATCGATGTCATAAACGTTTAATAATTAAATCGGTCAATACAGGTCATTGCATTTTCTAAGAAAAAAGTTATTTTCCAATAGGAAAATTAAAATGAGCAGCGAGCAAATAGTTAAATATATACAATTGCATTAATAATTTATTTATTCAATTAATTGATATTTGTACAGTTTTAAGTTTAAATTTAAATCATATTAAGTACAAAAAAAGTACATTAAATAGGTAAACATTTAACTTTTCTTCAAAATCTATAAAACATGAAAAAATATGCATATTCAAAAATTTCAGATTTGAAATAATAGGATTTAAAAATGTATTTTGTACATTGTTATATTTTACAATAAATAACAAAATTATGCAAATGCTTTATGTCCCAAACCTTGCTTATAACTAAAAAATATATTTATAGATATAATATAAAATAACTTACTTTCTGTATACTAAATAATCTTCAATGATATCTAAGCATCGTACCATTTGACTAAAGATTAATACTCTATGGCCATTGTCTTTAAGTTTTGGTAACAATTTGTCAATTAATACCATTTTACCCGATGAATGAATTAAAGCTTTATAGTAAACATCAGGATCATCACCATTTAAGTTACGGTAATCATATTGAATTTGATCTTCAGCTCCTAGAAGCAAAATATTAAAAATAAAATATGATAAATTGATTATTTAATAATAAAATAAATACTTACCATTTAATAAATAAGGATGTATACAACATTTTCTTAATTCCATCATTGTGTTCATTAAATTTGGAACATTTGCTGAAGTTGTACCCTTGGATAAAAATGAAAAGTTTTTCTCTAATATACCTCTATAATATTTTTTTTGAATATTTGTTAGCTCGACCTAAAATAAAATTTGAAATATATAGACAAATTGAATAAATAATTATATAGATAATTATAAGTTTACTTCGACAACTGTTTCCTCTTTAGGAGCAATTGACTTTTCAACATCTTCTTTTAAACGTCTCAACATCATTGGCTTTAATAATAACTGAAGTTTTTGTACTTCAGTTTCAGATTTTAAAGCACCAAATTCTTGTAAGAATTCCTCACAGCTTGAAAATTGAGTTGGTTCGAGGAAGTTTAGTAATGAAAATAATTCATTTACATTATTTTGAAGTGGTGTTCCAGATAATAAAACTCGGTGTTCCTAAATTAATTATAAATTTTTGAATTAAATGCTCACAAAAATATATTTCTTAAAAACCTAACCAATTCAAGAGAACATTTTAACATAAAAAAAAAAAAAAAATCATTAACTTACTAGGTTTAATGCACGTAATCCTTCTAACAATTTACAGTTTCTATTTTTTAAACGATGAGCTTCATCAATCACACATAATCTCCAACTTATATCACGAAGTTCCATACAATCAGATATGATCGTCTCAAAAGTTGTTATTAAAACATCAAATTTAGATACTTCTTTGATTATACCACCTTTATCATTTCGATAATACATTTCATATTGTTGTACCATATTTCTACTGTGAGATCTAAATAATAAGAAAAATTGAGAAAATTACTATAAAGAAACAATATTCTGTTTTACATATATTCATAATTCAAAACTTTGCACAACTATATATTTTAGATTAAATTTAATTCACATAAATGTGAATTAATCGGGAAATCTTAAAGGTAGAAAAAGAACATAATACTTAGAATACTTACGATCCATGATATACAATTACATTCAAGTCGGTCCAACCTTCAAACTCTCTTTGCCAATTTGGAATTGTTGATAATGGAGCAATAACTAAAAATGGACCTCTAACACCATATTCATGAACAGCATTAATAAATGTTAATGACTGTATAGTTTTTCCAAGACCCATTTCATCTGCCAAGATACAATTTCGTCTAACATCATAAGGTAATAAACTCAATTAATAAATAATAAAAATATAATTACACAATAATATATATAATATTATAATAAATTAACTATTAATAAAGAAAATACGAAAAACATAACTTAACTTACCCATTATACCAAGAAAAAAGTAACCAATTAAGACCCTCCAATTGGTATTCTCTAAGTGTATTGTTACCCTTGTACACTGGAGATTTATCCAGTTTCACCCAATCACTGGGTGTTGGTTTTTTTTTAAGCTAAAACACAAAATATATCAGAATTACATTTATGTATAACTGTAGAAAATAAAAACTATAAATATTACATTTTTATTTATGTGAATTACATATAGTAAAATATTATGTTTTTAAAATTAATGTGACTTTTGTTCATATTATAAAAACAGAATTTATAGATTATCAGACATAATTTATTATCAATATGAATATTTATATAATTATATAATCATTCATATTAGCATGGCTACAGTCATCATTGTATGTTTTTAAATCATAAGATATAATTTTATAATTACTTTCCACTGGTCTTTAGGTGGTGTATGTCTAATTCTTTCGAAAACTTCAATTTTTGCAGGATCGACATCTTGTTCTAATTCCCATGTACTGTCTTCATATTGAAGGGATCGCCACTTAACTAAATAATATTTAGTAGGTTTTTCAGAATTTGGTTCTTCTAGTTGTTCAGATACATCAAGAACCCGATCTACTTCAATATAATCTGGATTAAAAGGTTCTTCTTCAAGCTAAAATTAATTCATAATATTAAAAAACAAACATTAATAAATCTCTATGATTCCTAACTTACATTTTCGAAAATATTGGTATTGTTTGCCATTTTTTGTTTAAATCTTTTAAGTTTAGCAGCAATTCTTTTATCGCCTTTAAATAACTCTTCTTCAGTTTTCCATTCACAATGAAGATATGAAAAATTTCTATATTTAACATAATACTCATCAACTTTGATAATTTTCTTAGAACCATCATTGGTTTCATCTACATTTTGTTCAGTTTCTTCTTTTTTTTCAGATTCTTCTTGTTCTGTTTTAATTGTAACGGACTCTTCTTCAAGTTTCACTTCAGATTTTTCTTCTAGCTTATCATCAGAATTTTTAGTTTCAGATATAATTTCATCAACTTTATTATCAGAATTTTCTTCAGTTTTGACTTCTTCATCTTCCTTTTTAATCTCATTTTCACCGTCACTAGGCAAATTTTTATCATCTTTACTTAAATTTGATACCTCTCTAGTACCTGATCGAACAGCTAATATATGTTGTACAACCATTGAATCTTCATCAGTAACATTCTGAAAATTGTAAAATTCAAAAATTATAACTTGATTGATATGAATAACAAGGGAAATAATAATTTAAGTAATAACATTTACATAATTTGCATACTTACAATATACACCATATTAGGCTTAATAGAATTTCCTACATTAGCAATTTTGTCTTGAGCTGCCTGCTTGTTATCATTCACAGTACCAGAATTGGTTGATTTAGAACGTTGAGGCGAAGATGATTTACGTGAATCTTCATCAGACATGGCTAACATAATATCATCAACATACTTCTTTCTCTGTGCATGTCTACCAGATCTTCGTTTCTGTAAATATAAATCAATAAATGTAATTTACACATTATTATGAATAACGGAGTATTAAATAAATTCATTCTTAAATGTGGAAACTTATTTTAAATTTACAAATTTTGAGAAAAAAGGTAAATGGTTGAATATTTTAATATAAAATTAATTACTTACATTGTCATCATTTTCAGGTGATGGTGGTGGTGTAACATTAGACTCATCATTTTCTGATTCATTAGTTACAATTGGTTTTGGTTTCTTACGCCTATAAATAAAACAAATGTTAAAATATATATAATAAAAACCATTGAATTAGTGTGCACAATATCACACATACTTAGAAGCACGGCTGCTACGACTCTTTGACTTTCGATCACTTCTTTTAGAAGACTTTGAAGATTTTGCTGGTTGCTCCGACTGACCCTCTGGTAAAGATTCAACCTCAGCTAATGATTCATCAGCACCAATATCTTTTTCGCTCTTTACTGTATTGATATCTGGTTCAATATCTTCATTTAAGTCTTTATCAACTTGATTATCAACTTTAGTTTCCAGTTCATCAGTTGCATCTTCAACTTCATTTTCTAGTGTAGTCTGTGTAATATTTTTAACATCATCCGATGGAAATTCTTCAATTATTTTACTCTCATTTTGTGGAATTTTCTTTTTCTTAGGTTGTCTAAAAATTAAAAATTATAAGTTAAAGAAGTATTATTTCTTGCATTGATATACAGAAAAAATTAAACCAAAAAAATGAAGCATATTAAAATTTTTTTTTACCTTTTAGGTTTTGATGGAGGAGGAGTTTGAGTTTCAACAATCTCAGCTACCTCTGGAATTTTTTCTTTTTTCTTTCGATCTCTTGCTTTAGATTTAGGAACTTTAATGGCTTTAGGCTTTTTTGCCTTCGATTGCGATTTTTTTGATGTTCTAAAAAAAAAAAAAAACAATGTATTTTACATAAAGTTCATTAAAACCACAATGTTTCATATTAAATATAATAATTTTAATACTTCGGGAGTCCTTTTAATTTTCTAGGAGATCCATCTGGTAGAGAATGAAGTGGAGGTGGAGGATCTTCATCTTCAGTGAAATTGAATACACTTGTTTCAATTGTTTCATTCTCTGATTTTGGGGAAGTTGGAGGTGAAACTTCAGCAGTCAATGTTGGTGGCGGAGGATCCTGTTCACTACCAGACCAACAATCTCCTCGTTCAAGAGATTGAGGTTCATTCAGTTCAGCCGGTGATAATGATCTGGACTGATGTGAACCTATTGATGTATTGTCGTTTTCTACTAATACTGATTTTTTTACATCAGGACTTCCATTTGGTGATTGAGTTTCCTGGTTAGAATCTTCTTTTACTTCGGTTTGAGGTAATGGTGATTGTGCTTCAGATTGAGGTTGTGGAGACTGATTAATTTGCTCTATTAAAGGAGATTCAGAACAACCTTGTGACTCTGATTCCACAGGAGATGATGGCATGATTGGTGATTGTTGCATTTGTTGTTGTAATTGATCTTGCTGAAGCTGCTGTTGCAGTTGTTGTTGTTGTTGCTCTTGTTGCTGTAGCTGTGGTGGTTGTTGCTGTTGCTGGGGCTGTTGTTCAGAAGGCATTTGTAAAGGTTGTTCTAGGTGAACAGGTGGCATTATAGGATCTGAATAAGGAACAGAATTTGAAACTATTTGTGACTCTGAAGTACAGGGCAAGATGGGTTGCTGCACGGGCAATTGTTGCAACTGTTGAGGCACATGTTGTGGTGGCACATGTTGTCCTAGAGATTGCATATGATGATGGTACGCAGATTCTGAATTATTATACATAGGTTGTGGCATGTGTTCATGGTGCATTGGATTTGGTGGCATTCCCATATGAGGCGGCATTCCAGTTGGCATTATATGATGAGGCTGAGCCATTCCAGGATTCATATTCATATGCATTGGCATCATTTCTTGTGGAACCATAGGATGTGTTGGCATTTCTGGTTGTAATAAAGGAGGAGAAAAAGGAATTTGCTCTGGCTCTTGGGCCTTTTTTCGACTTTTTCTAGGTCTAGGTGTTCCTCGGCCTTCACCCGAAGCACTACCTCTACCTCTTCCTCGCCCACGGCCTCTTCCACGCCCTGACACCTATTTTAATTTAAAATAATTAATAAACACACTAAAAAATAAAAAATTGTTTATGTCATACAACAGGAGCAGCAGGTTCTATGATCGCAGGTTGATACATAGGATTAACAACTGGACAGTGTACACCTCCCATGCATTGATCATTTGCTTCGTGTTGTTGTAAAATGTTTATCCTTTCTTGAATATGATTTATCTATTAAAACAAAGATACATACTGATAAATAATTAAATTATATGCTTATTTTTATAATAGAAATTGAAAATATATAATCTATATTTTTTATTTAGTAATATAGGAAATTTATTTTTTGTTAAAAATGCAATTCTAATATTAACATGACAGAGGAAAATTCAATATAAGAAGTTAAAAATTGAATTAAAAAATATACCTAATATAATATTTATTTATTAAATAAATAAATAAATATTATTTGTGTGTGTATGTACATATTTATATACATAATATATATTCAATAAAAATTGTTCAACATGCATTAGCATGTTGAAATTAAGTTAAATTTAATTAAATTAAGAAATTATATCAGCTTATACATTCAAAATTTTTCAACTGAATGTCTTATGTTTATTTGTATTTAAATGATTGATTTGTATGTATTTGGACAGAAAGAATATATGTTTATATATCTTAAATAATAGTTACTTTAACAACATATTCCAGTTAGTTTCTAAAGGACTGTAGGAGGTCAGGATAACCTAATGGAATAAGGCGAAACTGTCAATGTTGGCTTCTTGTCAAGAAACATTTTCTTTCTTCGTGGATACAACAAAATTGTATGTCTTAATTGTGGTTACACTAATTGCATTGTGATGATTAACTTCAAATTTTTGGTTTATATCCCTACAAAGCTATCCTGTTTTCATATAATATAAAAGGTACCATATAAAATAATACATAAAATTACAATTTCTTTTTAATCCCATTGTTTTTTTTAGAATTTACTAGTTGATGCAACTAAATTAAGTAGTTTTATGTAACACTGAAGAATTTCTACACTATACTGAATATATATTTAACATATTGAAATGGTAAGAGTTTTATAGTTTTCATATTTTATTTATTTAACTAGGAAAATGAACTAACATACTTTTTGTTAATTAAAAACAAACTAAATTGTAGAACTTTTCAAGGAAGGGGACATGGGGAAGTGCTGTGAGTGATTAAGCCACGAAAAAAAAAAATGAAGAACTTAAATAAAATCTAATTGTTCAAAATCAAAAATAATATATCCATACCCTTAATTGATGATCAGGCCCGGAAGGTGGCATACAATATAATTCTTGAAGCTGCTGTTGCAACGCAGCCATTTCTTGTTGATGACTAATTGGTGATGAATGATACATTCCAGGAGGAGGACCTCTTGGATCATACATTGAAGATTGGGAATGTTGCATCTGCTGAGGTGCGTCAGGAGGTTGATTATTAATCATTTCTTCCATTTTATTGCCATTTTGATATTGCGGCATTGAATCATTAAACCCAATATTCGTAGAACTCATATTATTAGATCCCATGTGTTCCATAGAACTTGAATTCTGAGTAGATGGTTGTTGCTGTGGTTGTACTGGAGGTATATTTGTTTGAGGTTCTAAAGTTGGAGGCATATCTGCAGAATGTGAAACAGGAATGTGTTGTGATTCTAAAATGGTATATTTATTTTGGGTGTTAGTCGGATAATCAAGATTATTTTGACTAGGAATAGAATTGGATTCACCCATATTAGACAAGCTATTCATATTCAAATTGCTGCTAGAATTTGAATTTGATTGGGATTTAGAAGAATCCAGATTTTGATTATCTTCAGACGACATTGAAGAATATCCTGGTATTCCTTGGTCATTAAGATTTTGAGAAACCATGCCTCCATTATGAGAAGGTCTTGGTGCTGCTTGCCAATGCGGAGAAGTATTAGCCTGTATGTTATTACCACTTCTATATGTTGGATAATCCGTGGATGAATTAGTATTGACAGTTGGCATCACCATTTGTTCAAGTTGTTGAAGAGTACTCTGTTGAGCATATGGTGATGGACTGGGAGTGGTCACTGCTTTTGGAGTTAACGCAGTAGCCGGCCTTGGAGACATATTAGATTGAGCGGAATGAGGATGTGGCGAATGTGTTGTTGGTTTAATAGCTGTAGAATTGGCTGGTCTAGGAGATAAATGAGGTCTAGGTGACATTTGAGGCCGAGGTGATATTTGAGGTGACAGTTGAGGAAACTGTGCTCTGTATTGTGGTTGAGGACTTCCTCCTTGAGAAGTATGAGGTTTACTTTGGTTACCTCCACTAGATGGTCCATAAGGTGGATTACTAGGTACATCAATTCCTAAAGATCTTTGTGGTATTTGTTGTGATTGCTGGGGTTGAGATTGTTGTTGTTGAGGTGGTTGCGGTTGCTGTGAAAATGCCGGATGAGTAGTCATTTGTGATTGTAAATGGTTGTAATTAGATGGAGCTTGAGGGCTAGGAATTTCAGGCATTTGCATTTGTTGCTGTGGATATTGCTGCATGTGATGTGGTGGTATTCGTGAAGAAACAGTGGTAGTGTTTTGTTGATGACCATAAGCAGAATACCCTGGTGAAGTGTTTGAATACATCATATTTTGATAAGGTGCCATTGATTGTTGTTGACTTCTAGAATATACACTGGATGGAGCTTGATGAGAAGTCATCATTGGTACATACTGACCAGGTTTTTGTTGACTTTCTTGGCTCGGTTGTTGTTGATAGCTCATATGTTGTCTATACGATGGCTGAGCTATATGTGGATAATGCCTACTTATACCTGGAGCAGGGTAATTAGACCATGCTTGTAAAGCAGCTTGATCTGTGGTACCATACATGCCTCCTGCAGCATCTGAATAAGGTGAATACTGTGGCGGTGCAGATTGTCCTAAATTAGGTCTTAAGCCAGAGGAAACCCGACTTGAACCATAAGCCGATCCGGAGTGATTAGAATGGAAATGATCCATATGATTACCAGGGTTATAATCAGGAGCCCCTGGCCCTGCACCTCCGGGTGGTCCAAAGGATGCAAGCTTTTGTAGTGGAGATTCTCCCTGATGACTATGCATTTCTCCAGGCAACTGATAAGGTTGCGATTGGGCATAACCTGCATTTGCAGGAGGTTGACTTCCACGACCTGCCACATCTGTGAAATTATCTCCTCCCAATTCGGATAAGCCTTCCAACATGTTTCCACCCACATCCTCTCCAAACAACTCATATGAATCCATAATCTTCTAAACCAACTAAATGCTGCTATTTAGCAGATCTTCATTGGTGTCGCCGTCTGACATTGTAAGAATTAATCTTATAAACCAGTTTTGGATTTATTTCCTAGAACAAAAATAATAATTTACTTAAATTAATTTTTTTCAAAACCTCTACTGTAACATTATATCAAATAATAGTAAAAAATAATTAAATAATAAAATTAAAATTAAAAATTAGTAAATGGTTAATACTCGTAAATTAAAATATAAATAAATAAACAAATAGCTTATATATATATAAATTAATTAATGCTTAGCATGGAGTATTATTACATTTAAAGTACAACCGGTTTAGAATTAAAAATTAATTGTCAGGTATATACTAAGTCAATAAAATTATGACTCTAGAATAATGTTAATACTAATAAACAAATAATATACAATATTACATATCCATTACTTAAAAACTAAACCATGAAGTGAATACACTAAAAGGGGAAAAGCTATACGCTTACGACTGTTATTTATGAACATAACCGTTATAACTTTTCCTCTTTCGGCATACACATGTTACCTAAAAATGAATAAAATATTGTAAATATAATTCTAATTAGATTAACACAAAAACAATTTCTCATACATATATAATATATAAAAAATCTATACATCTAGAATAATTAAATTTCTATATATGGGTGTAATACATTACATATAAAATCAATTAAATAAATTTAGATAAAATCAACTTTTCCACCAACCTAAATTTAAGAATTTCTCTTTTTGAGGTCTTAGGTAAAAATATATTTAGAACAAAGATTAGCAAAATGTTATTTAAATTTTATATTTTTACATAATATGTTGATAATATAACCAAATGGTAAACACAGAAATAAACAGATCATACAAAATTACAATAGTTCTTTAATGGAATAGAAAGAAACAAGAAGGAATTAAAAAAGGAAAAATATACAACTCCAATTTGTACTTAAACATTAAACATTAAATACTCATACATTTATATAGTAACATAATAAAAAATATTAATCATTAGTATAGAATATATTATTATAAAAATTATATTTTATTTTATAAAATATAGTACATTACAACATACAACCTAACAGAGAATTACATAAAAATTAAATTTAAAATCAATTAATTATCAATGTTATATCAAAATGCATAATCTGTATCATATAACTGTACTTAATATCCATCAACTATTAGCTCCAAGAATTAAAATTTAACAAAAAAAAATACACATATTTCAAAGTGATTACTCAAAATTACTTTTATTGTTATTTAGTTAAATTAAAGCTAAAGAAATACTAATAAATTTACTAAACAATATTGGCTAAAATAAAAGTTATTAAACTGCTTTATTTTACACACCACTTACAATTAAAATACCAAGATAAATTTCAATGTCAACTAAAAATATTAGTTTAAAATAATGAATTTTTGATTTTAAGTAATACCGAATATTAACCATACATTCTTAGTAATTTTCCTATGATAATGAATTTACTGTATAGCATAAAAAATATTTTAAGACAGCAAGATACATGTAATTTTAAAATGTTATAACTTTTTAATGTTTTTAATTTTTTTTTTAGGCGGTGTCTCTACTTAACATAGAAAAAAAGTAATAATATATTTACTGTACATACTCAAATATAATGATAAAACTCGAAGAAAATTAAACATTTAATTTCCTTTTAAATATTGAGAGTTAGAAATAGTTAGAAGTAGTAGTAAATGTTTTTTAATATACAAAATAAATTATTAAATAAAATAAAATGATAAAAATTTAAATTTTTATAATAAAAGGTAATTAAAGGGTAAAAACATTTATTTTATAATAATAAACCAAGATAAAATCTTGAGAAAAACTAAATATAACTTATTTTTTAATTTTTATATAAGGATCAGTTAAAATGAAATTAAACATTAAACTTAATTAATATCATAAATATAAAGGAAAAACATAATTTTAAAATGATAAAAAAATCCTATCAAAAAAATATACTAATTATTTCAAAGTGATAAGTTAATTTTCAGTTAATATATTTTACTTTAAATATATATAAATAAGATTTAATATACATAGAACACATCGACGTTCGCAATAAAGAGTGTTGTAACTCATTTTTTTTGTTTTTAAGTTAGCAACCATCTGTTAGCGCAATTCTTTCTCTTAAAACCAAGATGACAACAGTATCTCGAAGATAAAACCAAAGATATAAAATATTATATGTATAAATATAAATATTAAAATTTTAATTTCCCACGAAAAGTCTTATCATAAGATACCACTAAATTTAAACAAGATTACCAACGAAAACAAACTATGGTAACTCGAATATTATAATTTATAATATTCTATTTTCGGATTTCTCCTTACTTACCTTTGTCGGTTTTAACTTTAAGCATAATCAATCACAATAATTATTGATTACAAGTAATGAAAGTTTCATAAATTAACATTATTAAATTCAATATTGAGATATTATGTTATTAATTGTTAGAATGTTAACAATATTTTGTTTATTTTACTTTTGCGATGGAGTACACAATGAATGATATTATAATTAATGAATCCGAACAAAGCGTAAGTATTATTAAAATTTCTCAGATAGTTAAAAGTATAATAAATTAGGTGATGTATCATTATTTAATTATCAATATACAATTTTCTGCAGGATTTAAGTAGTGACTCAGAGAGCATTTTAAATTGCTATATTATAAATGGCACGATAAGCAGTGATGAAGAGATTCGAGTTATCAATGCTGTTAATGTTCATATTGAAAATTGTACAGCCATCGAATACAAGGCAAAAATGCAATAAAAAAAAAAAATAAAACTACAGATTTTTCACAAATTAGATAATAACTTTAAAATTTTTAATTTTTCAATTTCCATAATATTTGATTATACATAATGTATTGTTTGCTGTCAACATAGTACATTGTAAATACCCAATATAAAACATAATATTGTTTTAATAAAAATGTATAGGTATTTTTTAAATATTTATTATAACTACTAAGAGTACATTTTTTTTATTAAAACAATAATTATTCAATAATTTAATTTAAATTACTTAAATCATATTACTGTATATGCCATATTCCAAACCTGCCTACTTTTTTCATTTTAAATTATATACAATATAATATGTTATGACATGAATATTAAAAAATATTATATATATATATATATAATAATTATATTGAGTTGTCATAATAAATATTATTTTGATTAATAAGACATTACAATGGTTATTACGTCTTGACTTATTTTTTTAATTTTTTTTTCTATCGAAAATAGTTGTAACTTGACTTAAGTTCTTATTTTTATTTTATTTTTCAACGAAAACAGTCGTAACTTGACTTACGTTTTTATTTTTATTAGCAAAAATAGTCGTATCTTTTTATTTTTTTTAACCTATTTTTTAAAGTCAACAAATAGAGTAAGCTGAAAATAGAATAAATTAATTTTAAGAACCTGAAAGATTACAAAAATAATTTTTAGATTTACAACTTTTGAAAACCAGAATAAGATTTTATTTTGGAATGTTTATACTGTATTTCCTGAACATTTTGTAAAAGTGAGTTAAGACACTCTTTGTTAGGGATGTTGACATAAGCATAATACCTAGATCATAGGTTCTTAACTCGGGGTCCATGGACCCCTTGGGGGTTCGTAGATAGTTACTCGGGGTCTACGGGGTGGCTGACAGATTTTTTGAAATAAGCCAAGAATAAATTTGTTTTGATAGCATTTTTAAGATAATTATAATTGTTGAAACACTTGAAAACCATTTGAAAGACAACCATGTTTATAAATATAAAACTTAAATTACGATAATATTATATGCCATATAAAGCTATTTTAATTTTAAAATAATATAACATGGCAACATAATCTAACGAGCATTTCAATTTACTACGGAAACCTATCACTTCTCTTGACCTATCACCAGGGACGGATCTGACGCCTGGTTATGGGGGGGAGGGGGCAATTGGAATATTTATTAATGATTTATAGAGTACAATGAATAATTGACCGTTATTTAACCAATTTATTAAAAAATAAGTACAACGATTAATACAAATATTTAACTAGATTAGTTAGTAAGTACCTACAAAAATTCATTATTCAAAAATATTAATTACAATAATTATTTAACATTAATGACTTATTCTATACTTACAATAATGTCTTTATGTGTACACGGAGTATTTCATTGTGAAATAAGCTATTGATAACACAAATCTACATTTGGTTATTGATGTCTATAGGAATTAAATAAATCTAAAAATATAGTTTCCAAATATTCCTATACCTTGGCTTTTCTGTATATTATAAAATCAATGGTTATAGTTCGGTCGCTTGGTCACAACCTCAGTCATATCTAGAACCGTGATCACAACTATTATTTATTATCATGAAACATCCTACTTATACAAATATATACATAATATATAGGTATTTATAAAATTATTATATATACCTATATAAAAAATATTAAATATACCAATCTGTAAAAAAAAAAAACCCAAGGGAGGATTACGGCAATTGCCACGTCGCCCCCCTCCAAAGATCTACCCCAGTCTATCGCCGTATAATAAAAATTATATTTATTTATATATAAACTTTTTTTCATTGAAGGGGGTCCATGATTATATTTTATTCAGGATCCATAGCCAAGAAAAAGTTAAGAATCTATGACCTAGATGATATAAAAATGTAATTTGTGAAACTGGAAATTCTATGAATTTCAATAGTTATAAGTTTTTGTTACTAAGGAAGTGAAGATTATACAATTTTTAATTAATGTGTAGTACTAACATATATACATACATTTTACCTATATAATCAAATTAATTAATTAACTATTTATTGAAAATATTAAAAAGATATCAATAAATTAAATTTTCATGAAATCATTTAAGTACACTATAAATACATGTATTCCTTGAGCCATGATTTTTAGAACTTAAAAAAGTAAATAATGGAATATATGTTTATACCTATTACAAATTATATTGGAAATACAATGAGTAATCAATATATTTTTGGGAAAACCAAATTTTCCATAAGTATTACCTTGGATTGGATTTTAAATTATGTTCAATCTAAAATATATATATTATGAAATTTTTAACCAAAATATTTTTGATAAGATATTATTTGATTTTAATTGTATAGTTTGAATTTTATTTAAATAAATACAGTACACTTAATTTGTGGTTCAAGTTCATCAGTTTTTAACCAAATTGTAAAGTAAATTAATACTTTTATATAAGGTAATTAGTCATAATCTCAGTATTTACAGAATAAAAGCTAAATATAATATAACAGGTTTTGATCTTTTTAATCCTGAAAATATTTCAACTACTTGTTTTGGTTTATTTTTAAAAAATCTAAAAAAAAATTGTCCAAGCTGACCACAAATAATAACAGCAAACAATAAAGAATGTTTACAAATCTTTAAGTACGAATAAATAAATGGTAAATAAAAAATAATTGAGTAAATAAAATAAATAAGTATAAACAGTTAATCGACTATAGTGAATTGTTATTATTTTTCATTGCCATTATTTATAAAGACCTCATATTAATGTTAAAAAAAAACGTTATTTTATAAATAAAACACAACTTTTTTTAAAATAAAAGTTTAAAATTTTTTAAATGTATTCATGTATTCTAATAATGCATAGAAGTAAAAGGGTAAAATAATTTTATGAGTAGGTAAATTAAAGAAATAAAATAATAAAAACGATAAATAACTATAATAAATAACCTAAAATATAATAAGCTATTTATTATGATACTGAATGCATGTAGTAATTAAGTAAATTAATTTATAATGTAATATATTTAATTTGTATAATAAATGTTACCAACTATCTAAAAATATTAAAAAATAATCCAAAATCAAAATTTTATATAAAAAATAGTTAACTAAAAAAGTTTAATGTTTAATAGTAGCAACATGAATTTAATAATACAAAAATATGAAAACATTGATTATATTATTATACCTAAATTATTTATTTTTTTAATATTATTTTATTATTTCCATACTACTTTGAGTACATTGTAAAATAAAATAGTTTCTTTTGTTGAGAATGTATTTTATTTTAAAAATTAAACCTGTTACATTTACATATAATTGGTATAAAAAACTGAATTATCATTTAAGTTAATTAACAATAATTTTGAAAATTAAAAAATGTTGATATTCTTGTCGTATGTAGTCTATTATTCATTTCTACTTGTCATATGCGGTCTACCATGCATGTCTATGTAAAAATATGCATTAATATATTATAATATGTAAGTAAATTAGTGTGTGTACCTATTACAATATAATATGTCAATAGGTATGTATTAAAAACTTTCAGTTCTTTCTTTTCTTCTTTCTTTGCGAGTATAGAATTTAGTTTACGTGCCACAGTTAACACAAGGAGGAAAGTCAATTTAAATAAGTCCTCTTTCCTTTAAAAAAGCTATGATATTTTCCTCTGATTGAATAATTTAATAATAATTTTTGGCTAACATAATGCTCAAAGTGTTTTAACAGTAGAATAATGTAACACATATAACAGCACAAACTTAACTTTAACTAATTTTTTCATACATTTACGATGATTACAATAATGATTATTGCTAGACTTTATTATTGAAGTTAAATCGTTAAGATAATACTTAATCGCAGTCGAATTAATGGGAATGTCCTAGAATATATATAGTTGCGCGGAAGATGACAGATTTGCGGTAGACCACATATAACGTATAGAAACATATATGGTAGACCACATACGACAAGAATACCAACTTTTTTATATTTTAAATTATATAATCTGTTTAATATAAAACAACTATCTTATGATAACTTATTTTTAAATTCAATATTTTAAATACATAAATACAAATTGTTATACCTACTCTCATTTATTGTCATTAATTGGTAATATATAATGATATCAATACTATAATATTTTTATACTGATATTTAATTATAAATGTTATTTAATTTAATTAATATGAAAAATATAGAAGGACAAATACAATAGAATAATAAATAAAAATGTAATTATTAAATATATTAATAATTAATGCAAAAAATGTTGTACTCATATGTTATTAATGTTTTAATTTTGATTTTTACCATCTAATAACACTTTTTAAATTAGAACTAAATATGAACTATACGTAATGTTACTTATTATTTTATATTTTTTTGAGTAAATAAATAAATTATTAAGATATCCTGACTTAATTATTTTATTTTGAATAATAATTTATAAAATAAATAATAGTTTAACTATTATATCAAATACTCGATTAAATATTAACAAATTTTGATCACTATATTATGCAAATAAATGTTTATTAGATTTAAATTGTCATAGACTGTTAAATTAATTATTAGAAATACTTCATTTTCTTTTTTAAATTACCTAAAATAAATTAACTCAGTAAACATAAATAAAAATCTAGCGATTATAATACCAAGTACTATATAGACTAACAGAGCATAAAATTCAAGATAAAATTTAAGTTATCAATATTTTAATTAAATTATTAAAAAAAAAAGTATAAATTTTACTAAAAACTGGTAGTGTTTTTAATAAGCCAAAAAATTTTAAATTTTTAATAATTATTAAGGGAAGTATCATGTGATTCAAACATTATGCATCTAACAAGCAAAACTTAGTTTTACCTGTGTATTATTTATAAAATATACATTTTTTGTCATTAATCCAATCTAATCTAATAATAAATTGCATAGAAATTAACCAAAAGATAAAACCATGGTTATCTATACGGGTTGTAGTTTGTGGCCTTTTTACTTGTTAAATCAGCAATTAGGCGGAGAAACTAATGTGCTGTCAATTTTCAATCCAGTTCTACACATTTAAGATAGAACATTTAATAGTTTTAGATTTTTAACTTAATACAAATTTTTAGTAATAAAATTGTAAGCAACTAAAATGTTATGCTATAAGACTATATATATATATATACTATAGGGTTACATAAATCAAATGGAATCAATTAAAGGGGGTCATTACCTTTAACTATTTAAAAAAACTTATTTTTGCCATTTCAACTTTGAACTTAATATTGAAAATAAAAAAATTAACACAAAAATTATTCAAATTGACATATTCAAAAGTTATGTTAACTTAATTGTAATCAAGTTATTACAATTTATCAAAATACAACTGTGGTTAGAATTTCACTGAATGGTGATAAAGATTGATAACACTAAAATTTAGTAAAATTATTATATGGCTAAAAGCAAATTGTGAGTAGAAGTATTTATTTGCAAAATTTAAGTTGAAAACTATATACTATATTATCTTTTATACAATAAAATTGGGCTAAAAATACTTAAAAATACTTGAAGTTAGTTGTTCAACCAAAGTTACCATCACAATGCAGCAATTTACAGAAAATATAGATGAGATCTCAACCAGTATAAATAACCATGGATAAACCTTAAATAAAACTAAAAATAAACTAATTTAAATGAAATATTTACATTAACCAAATTTAAACTCCGTACCTACCTATATGAATTAAAGTAAAGTAAAAGAATTTATGTATTCAATTTATTAGCATACCTGATAAATTAATTACACATAATTTATGAATATTCACTTCAGACTAATTTAATAATTGGAAAGATTTAAATACTCTTATTAGATATAAATATTTGTTATATATATACATATGTTTCAAGACATTTAAACATTTAAAACATCAAGATGTTACCCTTTATTAATAACTGTACAATACACTAAACTCTCAGATTGATACCAATATAATTTAAAACTTAATTGGATTGTTTAAATTACAGATGAAATACGGAAACTTAAACATTAATTTAAGCTGGCTACTTTCAAACTTGATCTAATATAGAATTTCTTAAGTAGAACAAGAATGAAAATGTCATTTTAAAAAGCTATTTTATAATATAATAACAAGATTCATAACACACAATTAAAATTACATTAGACATTTTCTAAAATAAAAATCATTAAATAAGTATAAAGTCAAATATAAATTATTTAAATTTTTGTAAAACTCAAAATGTGTGAGATATATATATATATATATATATGTGTGTGATTAGTCAATGTAACTGTATCTTATAAATAGTGTAATTAGTAAGCTAATAAAAAAGGGTAGATATTTATAGGAGCACATAAATTAAACGAAATCCATAGGCATCACATAATACAGTTTTATCTACAAAACAATAGGTACTAGATGGTCATACAGTAGAGAAACATAAAAAGAAAACAACAAACGTCTAGAACACCAACAGGTTTACACGTTACAGTAACGCACAACAACGAATGACGGTGACAGGTCACCGACACTAACAGAAGACAGATTAGTAACTGTTTGTTGTAGCAAAGAAAAACGACACTTGCAGTTGCACTTTTGCCTTGCAGTGTTATGTGGGGTACCCTCGATGTACGGTGCGTCGATGGCGTGGCAGCAGTACCATGCCGTAAAGAAAAGGGACGTGGGGCGCGCGCTTGCCAAGCAATGCCCCCAACAACAGCGAGGCGGAAAATATGGACATGACTAAGGTGGTCGGCCTTACCAAAACTATACGAGTCCCACGACGTCGGCGGTGGCGAGAAGATCCCACTGGCGTGAGCGCGTACACGCGGGGCACGTTCAACAAAAACACTAATGCGGCAGATAGAAATAGAGGAATGATAAAAAAAAAAAAAAAAATGATCAACAAACGAGAGAAAATCGAGTGAAGCGACGGGCACGATGCGAACGCTCAACACTCTTATTCAGCCCGAGTGGCAGCGGCGGCGGCGGCGGCGACGGCGGCGACGACGACAGCGGCGGCGGTGGTGGCGGCGGCGGCAGCGACGACGACGACGACGACGACGGCGGCGGCGGCGGCGGCGGCGGCGACGGTTCACCGGTGTGTAATGGTATTAAAATACCGCTATAATTATTATTAGGAGTATTACCTATTCTAAAATTTTTCATTTATATTTATACGCGTTCAATACAGCGGCGGTCCACTACACCGGTGCGCATTGAGCATCACCGCCGTGTAAACAACAAACAAAACGACGACAGCGGCGACGACGACTACGACTACGACTACGGTGGTGGCGGCGGCGGCGACAGCAACGGCGGTGATGGTGAGCGGTGGAGGAGGCGGCGGCGGCGGCAGTATCAGTGGTAGTGGTAGTAGCGGTGGCAGTGGTGGCAGCGACGGCGCGGTGACGGCCGCGGAGGTACACACGCACACACACGCACGGGAGTGCGCCCGCGCGCGCGCACGTATAATGTATACCCATTACTCACACACATATATATGTATACACAACAATATTCGTACGAGAGAACGAACGTACCTTTGAGCGTGCACCAACCGTACGTACACGTACGTGTTACAAAATGTTACGCATAGTTGCGATGCAAACATTTGGGCAGGGTGTGCGCAACAGGGGAACACGAACAAGATTTGCCGGGACGAGATCGGTTGTCGTGCAGAGAAAAACGGGCTAAACGATCTGATAGAAGGGACGCGGGCACACGATCGGGACGCGATAACCGAGCGCGCACGTAGTACCGATAATAAGAATAATAATAATAATAATAATAATAATAATAATAATAATACGTGTAAACATTATGTTATGGCGTGAAAAGCAGTACCGTTAATGTACCAATTACAATGTTATAATTAGAAATAATAATAATTACAATAACAGTAAACGTAAACAAAAACATACTGCCCGGCGGCCGGGTGTTTCAGGGGGGAGGGGGAGAAAAAAAAATAATGCCGTGAAAACTTACCCAGATGCAGGTTGTGTTTTGGACGCTCGATCACATGATATAGCGTCGTAGCGATGTAGCTAAGCGGCAACGACGTAGGCGACGGCCATTCATGTAGACGCCGTGACACTTTTTACGTCGGAACGATCACTGCGGCGGCGGCCAAAATGCATGATACACACACGCGCGCGCACGTACACACACACACACAAACGCCCGTTCTAGCGCGCGCGCGCTTCCGTTCCTACGTTGGCGCACTCGCGGGGACTAACGCGGCTTCGGCGTTGAAAATTCGACGTGTGTAAAAATGTGTACACACGAGATATTACGCCGGGCAAAACGAAAGGCGGGCCCGGATTCGTCGTATCGATAAGGGTAAACGGGAATTAATAACAACAGACGATTAAAATAATAACATTACAGCGATATTGTTATTTACTACTGCAGCTGCGTTGGTAGTAGTAGTATTAGTAGTAGTAGTAGTAGTAGTAGTAGTAGTAGTAGTAGTAGTAGTA